CATGCTAAGCCGGCTTCCACTGAATGATGGAAGTCAATCACCGACAAGCCCAGAGCAAGTGGCCTTCGTGAAGCAACTGGAAACAGGACCACTCTCTGTAAAACAACTCGCGGATTTGACAGCTGCGGACATGGAGTTGAGTAAACTTCGAATGACTATCCTGGAAGGATGGCCAACTCAGCCACAAGATCCCACTCTCGAACCCTTCTGGACCCGTGGAGCGGAGATGTCGGTGGAGGAAGGACTTGTGGTGTGGGGGAGAAGAGTGGTAATTCCACGAAAAGCAAGACGAGCAGTGCTGCTGGAGCTACACGACGCCCACTCTGGCATGGCTGCGATGAAGTTTCTGGCCAGATCGCTCTGTTGGTGGCCAAACATGGATCGCGATATCAAGAACATGGCCCGCGACTGTCATCACTGCCAGCAAGCGCAACCTATGCCGCCCTCAAGGGAGCCACTGTCGTGGCCAGCAGCGACCATACCCTGGTCAAGAATCCATGTCGACTATGCAGGGCCAGTCGACGGACAAATGCTGTTAATTGTAGTAGACAGCTACTCCAAGTGGATTGAGGCTGTTTTGGTGAAGAATGCTACTTCAGAAAAGACCGTAGAAGTAATGCGAGGATTATTTGCTCGTTTTGGAGTACCATACTGCATCGTTTCAGACAATGGCACTCCCTTCACAGGACAACCCTCTAAAGATTTCACATCCCAGAACAGCGTGCGTCTGTTCGAACTGCACCATATCACCCGCAGTCGAATGGACTCGCCAAACGGGCTGTGCGAACGGTGAAGTCGGCTCTGAAAAAGATTTCCGGCAAAGACCTACAAAGCTGGACCGCTGGACCGCTCGTCGCTTTCATACCGGCGGACACCCAACAGCACGTCAGGAAAATCTCCGGCAGACCTCTTGGTAGGAAGTCAGATACGTTCGAGGTTGGACCTCATTAACCCAGCGCGGCTGGAGAAAAAGGTAGAACAACAACCTCAGATCACTGCTGACAAACGACTACAACCAGGAAGAACCGTGTTTATCCGCAACTACGGATCAAGTTCCCGTTGGATTCCTGGAGTCGTAAAGGAGACGAAGGGAGCGCGCATGGCAATCGTTACTACACCAGACGGCGATGTTGTCCGACACGCCGACCAGATCAGGCTGAAGGTTCCGGAAATGGAAACACCAACTTCTAAGGACGACACATGGATGGGAGACGTCGGCATTCCTGAGGCGCCAAACATGCCAGTGCCAAGAAGGTCAACTCGTCCGAGACTGAAACCTTCGCGCTTTCAAGCTGCCTAATGTAAACTAAAGGTATGTACGCGCCGTACGAGCCAGCGGTACGAGCCAGCGGTACGAGCCGTGTTCCCCGACCGACGGAGAGCAACCCGACGCCCCCGATTTCGCAAGCGGGGCCCGGCGGCGTTTCCCTCTCCAGTCTGTCTCCTGGCTGAAACATAAGCAGCGGCAGATCACCGCCGCTCCCCGGCACAGAGAAAATGCTCTGTGCTGGTTTTGACTAGACGCCTTTCTTTCGCTATAATAAACATAGTTAACCGCACCTCAACTCAGCCACGGTCACTCATAAAGTAGTCACATCACATATCTTTAAAATTATCTATGCGTTTGTTATAGCCGATTCACACGACGAACCAAATCTCAATTTTCGTCCGCAGACCGTGTACCACGTGACTGTCAACGTCACCGATTCCTGCGATCCGCACTTTGTCCGCGGACATGCGGACTGATAAAGCCGAGTGCCTTTTTCATTCGCGGGCATTTGGCGAGAGATTGACTTGAAAAGCGTTTAGTCTGGCAACGTTGTGTTCTGTGTGTTCGTTGGTTCATTTTGTCGCGCGATTCTTGGTTCCACGAGTGAAAGAAACTCCTGAAACTTTGTCCAGCTGACGCGAAGCGGGTTTCGGTACTCCTCCGGGTCCGCGTCAAGCAGCTCCCGTCAAAACACGTCTAGCACGCCGCGATAATTCTTGCACGTCCAATCAGAATTTCACCGAGCAAAACCTCTCTTGTGGATGTGGTGTGCTTGATTGTTGTGCACGAGCGCGGAGTGCGTGAAGGCATCTCCAAACACCTTTGCACGACCCCAGACTTCGTCACGTCTACGCCGAAGCTTTCTCGAGCAGGACCATGCCTGTGTCACTGTCATGCTCTGGGTTAGTAAAGTTAGTGGCGCTTGGTGCGAAGCCTGTCCTGGTGTTTTGTCTCAATCTGTACGTTACAGCGGCGTACGATTCTTTATTGCGGTAGCAAACGTCGATTTCTCTCTTGGACAACGGTGCCACGGTGCGATGTTGGAGTTTCGCGACACTGTGGGGTGGCCAACACGTTCGGCCCCCCTCGCTAGCGTCTGCTCGTCGTCTCCCTCGTGTGGATGCACTTGGGAGACGGACGGACCACGGACATGTCGTCACGTGATCAATCCTTCCGCGGATCAGTCCGTCGTGTGAATCGGCTATTAACGTCAGATTGTTGCTGCTTTTGCCAGTAACACAAGAGCCATTTTTTCGCATTTAGGATTTAGGGGAATGAAATGAAGAGGTTCAGCCATTCCAGGAGTGGGAATTGGCTTTTACATTCCCCAGTCCTGGAAACTCTACTTCCCCGGAATGGAGATGGAATGTTCATTCCACAACACTGAGGGATGGGGAACAAGGCCAGTCCGATGTGCCTTCCTGTTAACCTCATGCAATGGTGACAAAAAAACAATTTATCAATAACCCACAACACTTTTTTTTGTTTTGTTTTTTAACTTCGATTACATTACCTTTTTTTCTTGCCACACCTATTCAAGTCGGTTAATTCGATCGATCGGTTTCAAACCCCGGATGTTGTTTCTAAGGAGCCGACGCACCTCGAAAACATCATCTGACAGACGATTCACGTGTAAATGCATAGATTGTGCTGATGAAAGTGGCAGCAGTGAATCAGAAGATGGCGTTTGTTCATTGGATTTTAGTTTCGATAGATAGTGGCAGCGAGTCAAACCAGACTGGGCCGTCCATAGGTGCCTAACGGTATGTTTTGTTTTGCACACCGAGCACATTTGTTGCCTCCGTGAGCTAATGTGGAAATACTCGGCATGCTCCGTATCTCTACATGTCACCAGCAGCAAGACAAGTAGAGTTTTATACAAAAAATGTGACGTAGTACCGTCCTCAACACAACACTACATAGTAGCATGATACGCTTTGGTCGGGGCATCAAGGAACGTTACAATCATCACAAGAGCAAAAACATTTTTTTTCTTTTTACAGAACAAGTTTTGCAAGGGGGCCTTCGAAACTTGCAAGATTTGTTTCTAAAAAAAGTACAAAATGTATTTTTTTTTTTTACTTTTTTTACTAATTTTTTGCAAAGCAAAATAAACAAAAAAAATCTTTCGTGCTAATTGCACAAAATTAGACATCATTTTTTTTTTCTTGCGCTATATAATAACAATTTTGTTTGACATATAGATTGTCGAAAAGAGAATTCCCTGAACTACATTTTAATATACCTCGGTGCACATGGTAGCGTAATAAGCAGCTAAAAATTTTTTTTAATCACACAACCTTATAATTGTGTTTTATTTTTTCCTGCAGTGTGGAGAGAGTCAAGTAAAATGGTTTCAGCTTGCGAACTATACTCCATTTACCGAGACTGCAGCCAATGCCACAAGCACGAGAGCTCGAGGTCGTTGCTTTGAAACTTTCTTCTGCAGGGCGAGCACTCACGCTAGAATTTTCCCGTCTCACCCGCGCTTGTAGCTTTGGCCACAGTCTCAGCTTAAAAAGACAATGAAGACAATTTTTTTTTTAATGGTGTTTTTAGGCTTCTTGGGAACCTAGCATGCTGCCTAATTTTTTGTAGACATTTGTGACGCGTATTTCTGTGCCTACGAAAGAACTGAAGAAACCGAAACTGAAAAATCTCCACTCTCATTTCTGGGCCTCCGAAAACAGAGGTGACGTATGGAGTGACGTCAAGTGCGAATAGTCGGTATCGGTAGCATTTAGGAGATTGAGACTGGTTACCACGGTGGGTTATAGCACCGCGGTGGCGCGATCGTTTCGTCGGGTCTGTCAACATGGACGACAGAGCCGCTCTCGCGAGCGAGTTCTGTTCGGGCTTCCGTTCGGTGACCTAACACCAACAAAACGGGAGTATGGTTGTGGCATCCTTCGCCATCACCCGACGGTGACCGCCCAGCCGGCAACGAGCAGCAAAGCAGGGAGCAACATTCGCGCGGGCGAGACAAGAGCAGCGCGTTGCCGAAGGACAGGGACGCAGGGTAGATGCCGAGGGGAAAGGAGCAGCAAGCCGGGAACCGGTTCCTCCGCGGGGGACGCTCCCCAAGAAGGAGAAAAAAAACATTACCATTTTAGCTTTCACCAGAGTCAAACGTCCTCTCATTTCGTCGTCAAAGAACACGAACGATTACTGGTCTTCAGTCGACCGTTTGATCAGCCATCTACGGCGCACAAATTTGGCATGACTACCACTTTGCACAGTCCTTCGAGTACCATGTTCCCAAAGTAAACACGGCATTAATATCTGTGACCCAAACGAGACGTCGCCACTTTCCAGCGTGCTCCACGCAGGAGACTGGCGAGTATGGTCCACTACCGAAATCGCATCTCCGAGGGAAAATCACGATACTAGACCCTCTCCAGAAGCGTGCGCCGTCTTGTGACTACCGCGCCAATTATTCGAGTACGCCACTGTATGGGCGCACGCTCCGAGCACGTTTTAGGCACGAGTGCATCATCAGCGTCAAGTGAGAACTCGTATCCAATCACGAGCCTCGTGGCCAACAAACGGTGGTCGCCAGTGTTGCTCGACAGACTTTTAGAAAGGGTCTATTCGAAGCGAGCGTGCAATTTTGTGCAGCGCAGCAAATTGATGTGAGATGGAAATCATTCACCCCACGGCCATTTTTATCAAGATGTGAGGTGCAGTCTACTTTGAACTGCCATCCACCAACAGCCGCCGCCCGACTCACCGCGACTTCCGAACTGTGCACCGTGTTGGGTCGCTCCCTAGCCGGAACGACGCCGGCGGGCTTCTCGTCCGCTTTGGGCGCCGGCTTCTGGGGCGGAGGCTTGGCCACGGCTCCCCGATCGGTGGGCTGGGGAGCCTCGGTGACCTGGACTTTAACCTTGGGCACGGGTGGAGCCGGCGGCTTGCTCGACGGGTGCCTCTTCGGAACCTCTGGCAAGGTTTTCTGCGCGGCAACCGGGTCGAAGCGTAAGCGAAAACGTGAGCGCAGGGATGAAGTTATTTGCAATGTTAAAATCAGTAAGGTGGTCTAACGGGAACTACCATAATATCTTGAAAGATTCCCCGCCTTCAAGAAATATAACACTTTGGTTTTATGTTTGGTATGTTGAGAACCCAGTAGATGTTCCGCCTCCACTGCCGTTCGCCGGACTTCGTCTGCTCATGCGACGAAGTGTTCTTAGAGGCAGAAAGTCTGCACTCGAGTCCACAGGGTTCTTAGCCTCATGTTTCTTTTGTTTAAGCAAAAACACCAAGAGATAGCCCACTCCTAGAAATGGCACTGGTCAGATGACCTCTGCAGCAACGGGGAAGCTTTCTTCACCGACGCCATTGTGATGTATTTGCCGCGTTTGTCGGGGCATTCAATGGTGTCGCTTGGACCTGCTTGAAGATGACGTTCATCCAATTAAGATCGCTTAGGTACTATGCCTATCTTTCGTGGTATTACGGCACTATGGAAAGAGGCAAGTGAGTTGTGCAAACTTAACCCAAAAATCAATTGCAGAAAGACGGCAAAGGCAATCCTCGTAAACAGCATGTTTAGCAAGGCACACGAAAGCATATATATTGTCTGTATATTTGGTTCTAATGGCAGACTGAGAGGCTTACTACCAACTGCATCATCTGACAAGCTGTTGTCATTTTCTTACAGTAACTAAATGCACAGAGCTGAATTTTTAACAATAAAATCTAACAGCATAGACCAACCTTGCATTTTCATTAGCTGCAATAGATTCAATTAAATGGTGGTCCTACCTCAAACACACATCTGCATAGACAAAATGAGAAGAGAGTAGCTTGAGCAAGTCGGTGATACATACTAAAAAACAACAGAAACGGCGCAAAAAAGACGAGGGACGAGTCGAAGAAACGAACGCATCAGGTGCTAACTTACAAGGTAACTTAAAGGGCAACTCCGCTCAATTCCAAAGATTTCGGGATAATGAGTGATTTCGAATTAAAAAGCCCTAGTAAAAGACACTACGTCGTTTGCTTCGCAAAAAATGCGGCTCCGTCCGGCAACATTGGCCTCGGGTCGCCAAGTACTTGGCCATTACGTGGTACGAGATGTCACGTGATCCTCGGCCCAACGACGGGCGGGATGGGGGCGGGCGGGCGTGCGGCAGGCGCGAGTGTCGTCTGCACCGCACTCTTCGCTACGTTTTGGTGTCTACGGCATTCGACGACATCTGCACAACTGGGGCATAAGTCTGCGACTCTGCGCACGTGGTGTCCATAGTGTGGACGAAACTCCGAGAGGCAATAATCACAAACGGTGAGACGACGATGGTGGTTGTGACGCGGAAGACGGCGGTAACGGCGGGAACACGGCGGGCAGTTGGTTTGCTCCCAAGAAGCGCGCTGCGCAGGCGCGTACGCCAATCACGTGGACACCACTGAGCGCCGAGAGGGAACATTGCTGACGTCACGCGCTACGCTCGATCGGAGAGGTAAAAACAAGCAAAAGGGGGCCATGGTGATGACGTTTAGCTCAATGTTGGCTCCGCCCATGCCGTAGCCTTGACTGCGCTGTTGGTTGAGCCTGAATTTGCCGGCTTGAGTCAGCCGATTTCGGCAACTTGGCGAGTTGCAAAGTTTGCCAGACCGTTTAAGAAACATTTAGACAGAACTGCGTCGTCATATTTGACGTGTGGTCTTCCTAGGCAATACTGAAGAGGACTGCATTGTTTTTTCAAAACCAAAATGAAGCGGAGTTGCCCTTTAAAGGAAAACTGAAACGGTTCTGCATTTGAGTAAAAACACTTAAATCTTCTTCATCTGGCCTCCTGGATCATGTATATCGAGATTACATTTCAGTTTGGTGCATGGAGGCTGCATAAAATAATTTTCAAAGTACCGCTAAAGCCCTACCTTCCCATGGTGGGACGTCATAAAAGGAGTTTTCGGAATCTCAGCTCTCGAGCATCTTTAGCACCTATCAAAGTTATGCACGTGCACTCCCGCTATATTCAAGAAGGTCCAAAAAAGACGTCACAACTGGTGTCAGTGCAGGGGAATATACCTGGCAAGCTCGCAAATGCACGACTGCTCACACAAGCAACACGCGCTTGGTGGCGGAAAGATCCTTTATTGACGTAACGACTGGTCGTAGGTTTTTCATGTTTTCTAGCGTTTAGTTATTCAGATTCACGGGATAAAAGTACTCTAGAATTCACCTCTAACTCATTTTTTTACAAAAACCTCTTCAGCTTCCTTTCAATGGGAAAAAAAAACGAACCTGCTAAAACACAAACTACCACGCCTATGTTTTGAACCAATCAGTTCACACAGACTCAGATACACCATCTTGCATGCCTATGTTTTGAACCAATCGCTTCACACAGACTGAGATACAAAATGTTGCATTGATGAGTAGTGCAAGTGATGATTACATCTGACAGAGCAAGAAAGGAATGTGCATTAGTTCACCATCAATTGCATTATGTAACTACATTTTTTTAATCCCCGGCCTTTGCCCTTTCTGGGTATGTTATTTAGTATCGCAAAATTCAGAATAGTTATTCTGAAATTGGCAAGTGGAGACAATGCTAAAACCGACAATCAAATATACCCCCGCTTTTCAGTGCCGTGATGCCACAGGCAGGCAAACTTGCGGGTCGAGCAGGCAGTCTAAAAAACAAAGTAAGTTGAGCATTTGCTTCATGCTACTGCACGGGTGCTGGCGCGAGCTTACAAAGCATTCATTGGACACCATGAAACTGCCTCTAGTCACTTGCGAACAAAAAGTTCAAAAATTTAACCACTGACTGCAGCTGGTGTTGCCAGTGGAAACATTCCATCTGCAAAAAACCGGTGAGGACCAAAATTGTAAATTCAATAACTTTGCAAGAAAGAAAAAATTATTTTTCCCTAATATTTGTGTTACTAGTTCAGCTATGTTTGTTGGGATGTGTACGGTCAATTTTGAGGCAAATCAGGGGCCACAAAGAAAAATGCCAAAGTATGCCTGTAAGTGAAAGCAGTCCAGACCACAAGTCCACAAATGCGGAGCTACGTACCACAGCTGGCGCTGGTACCACGACGGCAGCTGCCGGAGGGTGTGGCGGCGCCATCTTCGGCCTCGGGGGATCAGGGGGCGGAGCCTTGGGGGGCGTGGGGGCCCTGCGGCGGCCCCCTTTACGCTCACTGGGAGTTGGAGGGTTCGAAGAACCCCTCGAAGCTACCGAGCTCATCGACTCCTGGGACTTGGACGTCTGAGGCAGCCGGCACTCCAGGGCCCTCGGTTCATTAACTTTCGTGACGTCAACGTTGGCCACTCTGGCCTCGGCTGGCCTCGCGTCAACAACCTTGTGCTCCGGTGCAATCTTGGGCACATCCGCGGCTTTCGTTTCCGCCGCCTTGGGTCCGGGAACCCTTGACTCTGCCACGCTGGACTCCGCAGCCTTTGGTGGATCAATCTTTGGCTCGATGGGGGGCTCGGCTTTGGATTCGGGACGGTCGACTTCGTCCACGGATTGAGAGATGCGGACGTTCAGCTGGCTCTGTTCATCGACAGAAGATTGATGGTATATCAGGAGACGACTTTCGGATTTGGACCGAATAATGCTCGCGATTAGGCTCGGATGTTCTGAGAGTCGGTTTTTCATTTTATGTCCTAGTTTCTGTGTGAAGATTGAAAAGAAACTATTACCGTCTGCCATATCTTCGCCATGCTTACCTGCGTCTCCCAGCTAAAAGGTGCCGAGTGTTCATCTCTCCACGACTGCAAGAAAAAACAAGGCAGCAATGGAAAGCCATTGCCGCACAAAAAAAAAAAATATATATATATATATATTGCAATAAATCAAAAACAGTACAGCATCTAGCGTCACTGCACAGTCAGTAAAAGTCGTTGAATCGATGGTATGATGTGTGGGCCGTTTCTCAACAAAATCGAACACGAATACTTGTTCCCCTCGAGTTTTATTCTACATTTTCCGAACGTAATTATTCTTCATTATTTACTAAATTTAAATTATTCACGCCGTTTTCTCTCGGGACACTGCAGTTTTCAGTGACTGTCATGCTTATAACCTTCGCATTGAACTACCACAAAAAATATTAAAGCTTCCTTTTTTTTTTTTTTTTTTTTTTTTTTTTTGTAAGTGGAACATTTGCGGAAGTGGCGAAGTTGTACAAATGCGAAACTAAAAGAGAAAAAGCTTACCCCTATTTTTTTGGAGTGGGCGTTGTTTGTCGCATCTTCGTCGGTGACTACTTTTTCGCCCGTCTTCAGGCCGATCACGGGAAACACCCTGACCTCGGCGCACTGCCGAGAACACGAGTCGTACTTGTCACCGACCTGCGGACGCACGAGCTTCTCCCAGACGATCCGGCCCCTGCTCTCTTCGGGAAGGCGGTCCCAGTCGTCCGGGTGTTGTGCTCTGACGAGCGACAGATCAGTCATGACCCTCGAAGACTGATAGTTGAGGCCGCGGAAATAGGCCTCTACCTGCTCCCTCAGTTTGGCAGACGACATTGCACACGACGGAAGTGCCTGAGGGGCTCCTTGTCGTCTGTCGCACTCTGTTTAAAGAGGAAACACTTTGGATTGACCCGAAACGGGCCCTTTTTCTAAAACGGGGTCATACGGAGAGCTGCGAACGACTTTTCGCTTTGACGGCCGTCGCCTAAACAATAACGATTACGAAATGTACAAAACAAAACAATGCGAGTGGATTCTGGATTGGATTGAACATTTCATGTGGATGGCACGACAGTGTTTCGAGCTTTGAAGTTTTGTTTTGCCAAACCAATACCATTTTTTTTTTTAATTTTTTTTTTTTTTTTTCAACATGAACAGTATACAGGAAGAGTGGTTGAATGAATACGGGGTTGCATAAGGCGTATGTTTTCAAGGCTTCAAAACGCGTGACTGCACACGCCAAAAAGTGGAAATGCTCAGGAAACTGAAATAATGACTTTCTTTTCTTCATCACAAAATATTATAAGAATCTCCAATTTATAGCCATATCATTCAATCAGGAACATTATATGTTCTCTAAACAATTTGTTTACTGTGCAGTAGCAAACTCCTCTTGCTTTGCATGTTGGCCGTAAGCATCTAGTGTGGCAACTGAAAGATTTTAAGGCGAAAGCTTTACCTGTCACATCGCACGAAACGCCGTCACCGTTGTCCCCGAAAGATGGTCATAGAACTATGTAATCAAGACGCACCGCACAAATAACACCCAAAGAAAAGTACAGCAACACAGATGCTTTGTCACAGAAGCCGTCGAGGGGCCAGCGGGGTTCGCCGCACCTACACATGAGGGAACACCACCAAAGCACCGTGTGCGAGAGGAGGACTTGGCGCAGTGCTTGTAAGGCGTGTAGGAATGCTTTCGCATTTCTACACGTAAGCAGTCTTAAGTGTCTTCGGCGAGTTTTTTCTCATGTGTGAAACCCAAGACTGGGGAACGAAAGGAGATATATAGGACTCAAAATGCCAAACAACATGTACACCGTGCCCCCCGCCCACCCACCCTCCTCTTCCAAAAAAAAAAAAAAAACAATTGTGGTGGCTTAGCTCGGTTATGCGGGGATATGCGTAGAGCTTATGCGCACAACATGAGGTGCTATCAAATGGCTCCGGTGCAGCATCAGACTTAACTACTGCGCAACGGAGGTGCACAGCTGGGCACGCGGCGGCGCCAATGCGTCTGCCGTGGCTATGACGTCACTCCTCTGGAATGCAGACCGGCAAGGCGGACGCGGCGGCGGCTCCGGCATGCCAGCTGTGCACATACGCAGCACGGCTCACTATGCGAGCCATGCGAAACTGCTCAACCTCGGCCAGTGTAGCTCACGCTACAAAATTTTTTTTTTTTTTTTGTCACAAAAATACACAATGCATCGCCGAATGCTCATTCTCCGGCCAAATGTATCGCAAGTAGTCTGAACCATATGCCAGTTTCAGAACTATCAGTTATCTCAATCAAAAGTTATAAGTCATTTTCCGAAAAGTTTATTGAGAAATTGAAACCCATTTTCAGTAAATGGCACCATTCAGCTCCATGTATTCGAGAGCACTGCCAACTGCCATTTTCACATTGCAAATTTCAGAAAATCACTTACGACTTCTGAACAAGAAAACAAATAGTTCTGATGCTTTGGCATCTGGTTCAGACCGCCAGGGCTAGATTTTGCCGGAGAACGAGCGTTCGGCAACGCATAGATTATTTTTGGAATGAAAACAAAACCCATAAATATTTCTGGGAGACAGCCCTTACAGAGCAATCACATCTGAGTTGTGTATCCATGATAATAGGCTTCATTAATATATAATGTAAACCACTCAGTTCAACAGTTAAAGGTTGACTACAAGTTCAGGCAGCAAAAATCACACCGCCGGAATTCCACGCTTCAGTTCCGGTTCAACTTCAGCCGTCTCAGGTTCTTCGCAAAATGGTACGGCACCTCGGCAGCGACGGTGAGGTTCCTCCCATCCAGAATTTCCGGCACCACCACTGCCCGAGCGTGAAGATGCAGGGGCGCGTCCCTGACCTTGGACTGCCGGATGCCCAGTCTGTCCAACATGTCCCCCGGCAGCTTCTGAGGCGCCAGACGCCTCAGATGCGAGTACTTGTGGTCGCCAAGAATAGGACAACGCAGACCAAGTCCGAGGTGAGCTCTCAGTTGGTGCTTGACGCCCGTCGTCGGCCTGAGCTCGAGGTATCCCGCCCTCCCGCAAGACGCGAGCACCCTGTACGTCGTCACGGCCGCAAACGACTTTCTGAACTTGGGAACCAGGCGCTGGAACTCGGGATCCAACTTTGGGTTCAGGACCATCCTTTTTGCCCCCTCAACCTCACCTTCTGCCAATGGCATGTCGATGACGCCCTCGAGGTGATCGGGGACACCGGCGGTGATAGCCAAGTACGTCTTGGAGACTTGGTGCTTCTGGAAGAGCGAGTTCAGCATGTCCGCCATGCGCTGAGTGCGGGCCAGCAGCAGAACGCCTGTGACATCGCGGTCGAGACGATGCACGGTGTACAGCTTGGCGTCTTGACGAGGGTAAAGAGCAGACGACAGGTCTGGGAGGAGTTTGGTCAGGACGCAGGCATCCGAAACCCCGGGAGAAGGACCGTGGCAAAGCATGCCGTAAGGTTTGTTCAATACCAGGATGTCGTTGTCGTTGTAGAGGACCAGCTTCCGCAAGAGGTTCACCGCCTCGGTGTGGAGCAGACGACTTAAGTCTGGTCTGATTTCGGATTTGAGGATGCGGAAGCCTTTGCTGTCGAGCTTGACGCTCGATGGGGGCGATTCTCGGCGGAGGTAATCGTAAGCAGTCTGCTGTTCTTCAGAGTCCGGGGGCTTATTGTCATCTGCTCCCTCGAGGTGTTTAGGCACAAAGCTTCCAGCTCTGCTTCCGTTTCCCGGACGTTCGGTGACAATCTTCTCTGACCTGTCTCGTTTGGTAAACTCCTGCAGACTGTGTGGAGCAATAGATGGTGCTTCTGCATCACCCAGCTCAGTGTCTATCCTGGACTGACTTTCATTGTCTCGTCCGATAAGGGCCTGTTGAGCCTTCGACAATTTACCAGGAAGGGCTTCTTCCCTAGCAAGAGGGTGTGCTCTGGTCACAGTAGCTCTTATTCCTGGGGGATGATTAACTGTTTTATTTTGCGGTGGAAGAGTACCAACATTCGAAAATTCATACAATCCGCGACGCTGAAGTGCTTGAGCATCTTTCTGCAAGTCAAGGTCGACTCCACGCTTCCCAGTTTCCTCGGCATCGCACCGAAGCTCAGAAACGCTGGGGTGGTGTTCATTTGAAGCGGTTTTAGATGACTCCGTTGTATGCTGTTCCTCCACACTGCTGGGTTGTTTAACGTCTCGGCTGACCTTTTTCCGTTGTATCTTTTGTCGCGGTTCGACCTGTGCCATTGGCAACTGTGGGCGTTCATTAGGCTGCGTTTTATCTGCGTCTTGACAGTCGCGTACAGCTCCTGATGCGGACGTGGTAGAATATTTTCCTGGATTGCTGTTCAATCCATGTTTCAAAACTGGACTTCCTTTGACTCCACGGCTTCCAAACACTGTTGACACCACCTCTGAAGCATTATAATCTCTATCAGTTTTTGCCTCAGACTCCCTGACTTCGAGTTTCGGCTTGGAAATTCGGTTTGCGTTTTTACCGGAACCTAAATTGTCCAGATGCACATCGTCAAGTAGAGTGTCGTCTTCGTACTGCCCGTGGTACCTGGGTTGGTTATCGGAATCGTACCGGATCGTGCCGAAACCGGCGTCGATGACCTTCACGTCCGAGACCCTCGCGTCTCGGCTGCGTGCGAGGTGCTCGAATTTCTCCAGGCGGTCGCGAGTGAATGATTCACTGCCCGGGACGGTCACCATGCCGCGCTCGCTTGCGACGCCGAAGAAATCGTCGTCGGCAGCTGCTTCCGTTTCGAGGTCCAAGTTGTGGGCGGTCCTCTGGTTGGTGCCTCGAACTAGCAAAAGCTGTGATGTCGAAAACGATCGCGAAGTTCTGCATTTATGGCCGTTAATCTGAACACACCGCGCAAAGCTTGCGCGTGCTACGCGCGCCGCCATATTGCTTTTGGTCAACCAATATCAGTGTTCGTTGACCGGAGACTAAACTGACCAAACAGACCAAGTTCAGCCGACACTCCGGTTCAGCCAGTTGAGCTAAACGCTTTTTCACTTTTATTTATTTTACAATAAAATATACTTAAGTTAGCAGTCTACATAAAAATTAAGTTAAAATAAAAATATGTAAATAAATTAGTCGAGCACACTTTTTAAAAAAGGCAAAATTTCACCGTGCGTTAACAGTGTACGCTAAATGGCGCAAGCCGCTACCCAATTCACAAAAGTTAGTTTATTTTGTTATTTTTTCATCATCATCCTAACTCATTTGTCTATCTATCCATTCGGCGATACCACATGTGAACGTGCGAAAGAAAGCGGTACGAGGTTTTAATGCTACAGCCCTACATTGATCTCGTTTGATGTTGTGAATCTTAAATGTCATCAAAACCTACTAACATTAAACTGGCACCCAGACCACTGAACTCAGGATCGACATGCCTCTCATCCTGTCGGACGAAAGCAAAACGAGCGTGTCGGACCACCTGAAAGAAATCGGCTGCTGCAAGTTTTGCGTACTGCGATTTCTCGGCGAACGTTATTACAAAACGTACCACGAACCCACGCTGGCAGAGGTAAATATCATGATTATAAATATTTTACACACCATTTAAATAAAAATGTGCCGAGAGTGGATTTGGCAAAGCGCACTAACCGGGCTACTTCCAAAAGACCCGAACCCATCTCGTTTGTGATTGGCTCATCCTCGCTCTGACGTCACTAGTAGGATTTCGTGTTCGCCCACCGTGTACACACTTGAAGACAACTGTGATGTCCGTTCAACTAAATTTCGCGCAAGTTAGTGACAAAAACGGACTTATGTTTTCCATTTTCATATTTAAACATGCTCTTCACATTTACCTAATAAATCCTTTAAAAAACACACACACACACGCACAGCGATTTGCGTTTTGAGGATTGTTTCGTACATGCCCACTTTTACTCCTCAAGCTTCACATGTAGCATAATCAGCTCAACTTCGGACATAAGTTTGATTACTGTTTGTGTTGGTTATGGCGTGTATGGGTGCTGGCTGTCATTTGTGCACTCACTTGAGTTAAAAAAATCTAAAGTTTGCAGTCACACTGGTGCAATGCTTCAGTTCTTAAATTAACCCTCTAAGGTGACACCCAGCCGTCACACCACTAGCAGCCAAGTTGAGAATACAACCCGCGGGGACTACAATAACAACGCAAATTGTTTGTGTTTCTGAAGCCACCGTGCTCGACTGACATAGCCGAACGCTGCGTTGGTGCCTTGTGTTAGGTAAACACTGAGCCCAGTGGAAAACAAGTTGCACAAAGTGCCTTCTCCATTCTATCTTTCCAATAGAATGTTTTCGTGTGACAGTTGCCATGTTGAAATATGACGTAGTTGGGTTGGGCGACAAAAAATAAAGTAAATCGTCTAAGTGTGACTACAATAAAAAAAAAGTATAGTCAAGAAAAAAGTAGATCTATGGCACAAATCCCCCGAGTTCTATAGTATGTTGCAGGTTAAGAAGGTAGGGCGAGGGAAAGGAGGAAGCGGATACAACACTGGCGAGGGGAGGGGGTTTCCTCTCGCCAGTGTTGCGTCCATTTCCTCCTCTCCCACCTTCCTTTCTCCCGCCCTACCTTCTTGAGTTGTCACCGACTAAAGTGTCCTCTTATCAGCAAATAAAGGGATTCACTATTTTTTCCCCACTCAGCTACGTCAGCTCTTGTACATCGCAAAAAAAAAAGTCTATAGGCCGACCAACTTCCCACTCTTTTAGTTCCCGTGCGACCAAGTTTGTCTTGCATTGTTTTTCTTTTGAAGCAGCCAACATTGTCTTTTTCTACTTGCAGGATTTGAATGAGCCTGTCGATCAAGACCTGAGTGAAGAGCCGGCAGTAAAACGACCCAAACTAGGGTCAACTAACTCTTCAAAAGACGAGCAGAACCACGTCTTCACCGAAAAAAATGGCGAGGCGGAAACTGGCGATGCCAAATCAGCTGGTAGACCTCAAGAAAATGGCCAAAACACAACCTGCATCGCTTGCTACAGTCTCCTTGAACCTAAGCACCTCAAGGAGTCGCTTCGGCAGGTAAAAGACTCCGTTTTTGGTGTCATACTTTGATTCCTGCCACAAAGCCATTTTTCTGAAAAAAAAAACTGCTTGTTGCTACTCAGTGTCGTTACCGAAATGCAAAAAATAAGGGTCGGTCAATGTGTCAAAATACATGGCGGCTTCTATCGACCTTAAGTTGTGATGATCACTTTGGACAGATGGTGATTGGCGTCAAGAAGAGCCAATGCGTCTTCGACAGCTTCAAGTTCCTCCTCTCAGTGCCGGTGGCGCTTGAGCTCCGACATGTGAGTGTGGTGTCATTTCATGGCAGTGTTGAGAAGTACTATTGTGCTAAAGTACTACTTCAAGTGGGCTGAGGAAAATTGTACTGTACTTTAAGTGCATAATCTGAGTATGTACTTTACTTAGAGTATCCTTTTCAGGTTCTTTCCGAGGAAACTACAACTACCGACTTCAATGTACATTCCCCAAATTTGGTTTAGCTAAATTTGTATTACAAAATGATGCTTTGGCAACAAAAAAAAAAGTGACTGAGGAGGTGATTTTGTTAAATAGTTTGTCAGCGAGAGTAAAACAACTACTTTGTGCCCACTTGACCTTATCTAATATTCGCCGCCATTTCTGAAAATTACTGATGCACACCCGATTACCCCAGGGGTAATACATACCAGTAACAAAAACACGCGGTATAGAAGAATGAAAACACATCATAAAAGATTATGTTAATAAGTACTTGTGCTTTACTTTGAAAGTAAATGGTAGATATAGCAGTGGCGTCACTGGGGTGGTGGGGTGTGGTAAAGTGGGGGAAGGGGTGGGGGTCGCAGCAGGTCATAGATCTAAGTGCCGCTGACCCTAGTGATGCCACTGATTTCTAATACTTTACTTCAAGTATGTTGCACCCGGTGTATACTTATTACTTTACTTGAGGTATATAACCGTGTACTTTGCTTTACTTGAGGTATATTTACCGTGTACTTTACTTTACATACTTTTTAGATGTACTTTTCCCAATACCGCCTCATGACCACATCACCATAGCTGTGTACTTACCAGGCATTAATCAGCCAAAATAATCTTCCTTCACTTATTTTTCAGCACGCAATGTTACTTCACCTCAAGAGCAAGTTTGGGTGAGCAGAAAACATACCTACCTGTACTTAGCATCTACAGGAGCACTATATTCAAAGACTGGAGAACAACATTGCTCTTCCTCTTTAGTTGTCGGCCTCTAACTCTACTAAATAACCGTTTCCCAAAACTTAACAAAGTGGTAATTTCACTACAAACTACTGGAGTATTCATTCAAAAGTCTGAGAGGAATTTATCTTGACATGTTATCAACCCATGACCAACCCTCTGACACGCTTGGAAGGTATTCTATCAGAAAATTGTCTGCATGCATGCTATGATTAAATAGCAAGGTTTCTGCATAACTGAAAAAAGACACTAAAGTAATTAGTAACTTTTCATTTTATGGTTATTTTATGTAGCTGAGATATCCCTTATTATACTGACTAGCTTTTAATGCCATTTAAGCAACCCTACCTCGTGAAAAGGAAAAAAAAAATATTTATCTAGAAATCTTAAAAGAAAAAATAAATGTGCAAAATAAAGAAACAAAAAAATGCCATTTTTAAAAGTTAAGAAACCTTCATCTCGGCTTGAGTGCTGCATCAGAAGCATACATGGGTAAATTACTTTCAAAATGTAATTTAATTACAATTACAATTACTTAGCTCCAAAAGTAGTTTAACTACAATTACAATTACTACTACGCAAAAGTAGTTCATTGCAATTACAAATTACTTTTTAAAAGTAATGCAATTACTTTAGAATTACTTATTTCTGAGAGTTACCCCCCACATTGGGCCATATAACTGTAAACGAGTTATACGACCGCTGTATAAATGTCACGCATTGTACTTTCCTTTTATGAAATTTGTTAAATGGATTATAGAACTTAATAGTTTGGAGTAATGAACTGCTGCGTTCATATATTCTCAAAACATAAAAAATGGCGACAAAATTCACAGGTGCGAGGGGAATCTCCTTAGAGCTTATGCAAATGGTATCCAAGTCAAACCAAGAAAAAAATAAACTTAAAAATAATACAAGGAAACAAATATGCGACAGTACTGGTATCATAAAACTCGCGTAAAAATGGCTAATAAGAGAAACTTGTAAACGACGTCAAACATTTAAAGGATACGACAACTTATGAAAACATCGCAGCCACGATGATTCGCTGCCTCTCCCTGTCTGTGGACTTGTAACATGTCGGATGTAGGTAACCGTAGCACGCGAACTGTGGTCGCTTCCACAAAACTAGTGTCACAATAGCAGCAACTCTATTGCCAGGAATTCTGGGTTAATTCAGTGCACGGTAACACCCAAAAAGCTCCTGAGATAAATAATAAATTTAGGATGGTCATGTAGCTAATCATTAGGATAGCAATGATTGTATCGATGTTGTGCGTCTCATAAAGAAGACCGATTTGAATTTAGCATGGCAAGAACAACCTCGAAAAATTCATGATACACTGCAAACGACTTTATTTTCGCGAATTTCGCGAATCGCCTACAATTCGCGAAAATTAGAATCCGCGTCGCGAAAATTAGAATCCGCGAATTATTCCAAAACTGCGGCCTCTTGGACGCCTCGATTTCACGATTTACTTGAGCGTGTTTCAGCTGGAAGATATAGACGAGCTATTATTATTATTTTTTTATAACTGTAAGTATTATTCAAAGTAACAAGAAAGTTGCCTACCTGCAAGTGTTTCCGCAAATTGGAGGTCGCCTTTCGGTTTATTGAATTTGTTCTCAGAAACGGTCCGGAGAGTTTGCTCCTCACGATTATAGTTTTTTACATTGGTGCTAATCTGTTTAGAGAATTTTTCGCAACAAGGCCCCGGCAGCCTTTCCTTTTCCATTGTAGATAAGACTGTTGCAGCTTCTCAATGCAAAGCAGCACTGCGCGCCTCGGGGCGGTTCCACAGGCCAAGACGAGAGGACAACGCGTGGAGGGTCACGATAGAGGTGTAAAAACAAAGTGCAAGCCAAGCCCTCTATAAAAAAAGAAGCCTTCAACGAACAACAAATGCAAAAACAAGCTCCCTACAGCTAAAGCCGCGATTTGTAAGTTTTGGAATCTCGTCCAATCAGGCTGACAAACGGTTGAAAGGGTTAGGTAGAGCGAACACTAAATAATGAAGATTTATACAAAAAGGTAGACGAGGATTGGGAGAAGGAAGAGCAGTGTAGCAAGAACAGTTGGAAGTAAGGCAGGGTGAGTCGTGTTAATGAGACCTGCTGCTTCTTTACTTCTTCGCCTCGATGTTAGAGTGTTCCTTACTGTTAGTGGTATCAACATACGAGATAGAGGAGAAGGACGTGAAAAACTCATAAAGAAAAGAGAATAATTTCATGAACAAAAAAGTTCCAAACTTGACTGAAATATGTAAGCGAATATGCTAGCGGCGAAGACGCACAAGGAGAACCTCGAACCTCCCCGCCTCGACCGGATGATGTGATCGGAGCCAACCAGCTCGACTTCGACCTCCGATGCCCCCGTGTGGCAATGAGAAATAAGAAAGACCCCTAGAAGCAGGAGCAACAGGAAGCAAACGAGACGAAGAGTCAGATTCAACTACAACAGGAACGAAAACGGACGCGAATGTAGCCCTCATTTATCAAATTATTTCTCAAATTCTTCATTAAATCGTTTTACAGTCTACAAAATCCTTCATTCCGTTCTATCCCAGCCTTTCTTTCCCATCCCTCTTTTCCATATTTTTTTAGCAGGTTGGGAGACGCTCTCTCCCCTGTCGCTTTGGCTGTGCTGTCGTCTCCGTGGCCAGGGGGGAAAAGCGCCGCCGCCACAAAATCTTGCAAAAGTAATTGTAATTGTGCCTGAAATTTAGCAATTACTGACGCTAGAAAGTAATTAAATTACCATTACAATTCCTTTTAGCCAAAAGTAATTATTACAATTACAAATTACCAGGAAAAGTAATTAAATTACAGTAATTTAATTACTGTAATTGAATTACTACCCAAGTATGATCAGAAGTAGGAAGGTGGTATATAATTATTTTATATGTTGGCATACATTTTTATCCATGCTGATCACTAGTCACCTTGCCCACTTCCCTGTGTGTATTTACCTGACACATCATATAACTAACATCACCACACTGATAATGCCTTTCTCCTGCATCATCTATTAAATGCATGCTTAAAAAAAAAAAATAATGTAATCACCTTACTAAAGCTCCGAATTAAACCAGTAATATCTCTAGATTAATAAGAAAGCCAAATAACTCCTAACTTCCCACTGTCAGAAACTTGGGACTTGCCAGTCTTTTGATATCTAGCAAATCCTTTGAAAGATTACCACGATACTGTGCGGTCTTGTGCCATCCAATTGCCTAGTCGGTATTACGAGAGCTGAAGAGTTCCTGTGACCATCTCCGATTGTTTTCCCTCCGACCCTTTGTTCCGGCCCCAGTGAGCTGTACAGTGAGGTCTCCGAGAGCGACTTGCTGAGCGTGAAGGAGGTGTGGAAGAACTTGGTGGGATCTCCCTTTTCCAAACACTTCTCGGCCACCTTCGACACTTCCAGCAGCTTCCAGGTGTCCATCACCCTTCCTTCACCCAGTGCAGAGGCCGAGTGCGCCTTTTTGTGAGTCACCCCAAGTCACCGATGCTTCAAACACGCCATGGGGCAGTTTCTCGTGACATAGTTCCGGTTCGAAATCTTGCCAAATGCCTAGTCGGTGAACTCTCACCCCGTGTCTTTCTGCGCGCGGAGGCAGTGTCTTCCAGCTCGCCCAAGTTCTCTCATGTGCTGACCTACTGCGCCAGGCAAAGTTCTCGGGAACGTAAAAGAGCATCGGCTGGAGCTCGATTTTTAGATCGATTCTTGATTAGGGTTTAAGACGAGTCGGCGTAGAGAAGTCAACCCGGCGATGGCCAAGATGGCTCCAAGAGATGTCGCTGGGGCAACTCCGAAAAAAAGAAAAAGCGGTCTAAACATTCGTATATGCGGCCCAATTATGTCCTTGGTCGCACTTACCGAGTGCAGTCGAGTGCATTTCGCCAAAACCAAAACCGACGCCAATAACTAGGCATCTGCCTGCAAATAAATGGCAAACACTGTTCGTCAACATTGCAGCACGTGGCTTAACAGAAGGGAAAAGGTGTTTTGTGGAAAGGCGTTATTCTCCCTCACCAAATTAAGTGACTTACGATCACTCCTTTTTGTCAGGCTATCCGAGCTTGTTTATGCCAGCAGGACCAGGATGCTGCAATACTACGCAAAAATTGGAACCATCAGGTTGAGGACAAAGAAGACCAGAACGAAATTGAACTGTGTTTATGTGCGGTAATCGAAAAGACCTCAGAAAGAAACTTAAACGCATTTGAATCCTACAAAGTCGGAGGGGCGACTAGGGCAACAAAGTTTTCGCATCAACACGAGTGTGTATATACCAGCTATCATCAACAAAGCCACTCTTGCACCACCTAGTTGGGTTTTCTTTTTTACAGCGGTAGCTATTAGTGCCGTTTTTTGGAAAAATAAGGCTGGAACGCAATACCTAAACATATAAACTCCCGCTTGTTCCCAAGTTGTGCAAGCGTCTCTGCGTGGCCTAATCAGTAGCATGTCTGGCTCGCAACCGAAGGATTGTGGGTTTGAATCCCACCTAAAATTCTTCAAATTGTTTCTTTAAGGCAAATGAATTACTCTATAAAGTGAAATCATTTGAGACATATGGCGACCTTTAATTCGCATTACATGCGACGCCACGTTTCCCACGAGCGTTGTAAGTTGTTTGAAATTCCCGCGCGAGGTCATGTGGTTCTGACACCATGACCGTATCGACCAGTCAGAATTTTCCCGTCATGATGCCACCGATGCTGGCTTTTCTGTGACACGAGCTCCATAGTGCTGTCGCGTTAAAATGCCCATGTATGAATGCAAAACTCCACTCTATAGCAGGGACACTGATCTCCCTTCCTCCCCACTCCAACCCTCCGGCATCCGCCATTGCAATATACCCACATGACCACACTGTGTGGACACACTCCCTCGCCTCCCCACCGCCACCGCCCAGGTTCCGTTCTCACGTACACTCCGCGCCTGAACAGAACAGCTCGCATACACACTTTCGCTTCTTCCACCGCAGGCACGGGCACAGGCACCCCTGTTCTGAAAGAGCATTTCAGCCACAGAAAAGAAAAGCATATCTCTGTGTCCTTTTCTAATATGTGCAACATCTCGCACAATCGTTCCACCAAAGCACACATCTCCTCACACACGTCTCCTACATCAAATCCACTGAAAGCAAAGAACCCTTCGCAAACATTGTACAGCACACTGGCTGAAGGTAAATCTCTTTCAGCATGCCTGTCCATGACGCAGCAGCTGCCGCTGTTGTGTACGAGGTTCTCTGGCTTTCGCCAGGGAACCTCAAACAGGGGAATCGTTAGCATCAGATCGAAAACACCTTTCTTTGCGTCATGTTTTGCCAGTTGCCATATTCATGCATTGTAGCCTGAATGCTCGCTTCATCTGTTCGTTTAGAATTCGTCCGAAGTGCACGTTTAGAACACTAGAAACAACTTTCGTGTTTGACGTCCTATTGTTTTTCAGATTGGAAGCCTATCCGGGGTCCTTTCCCAACCGAAAACAAAGGAAGGTGAGTCTTAGCACACGCATAAAACAGATACGGAAAAAAAAAAACATACACTCCGACTTATTTCTTCCAGTCCCAGTGTCGGGAGGTGTTTACACGGCACGCAGTTTCCGACGCCCTGCGCAGGATGCCCGACGGCGACTTTACAAAGTGAGCAGCCTGTCCTGTCCACCAGAAAAATTACTCTTAAAGAGTATAATTTAGTTGAATTAGCCTTACTTAGGCTGAAATCTAATGGGTTACAAATAAAACTATGTTTTCACAAGTGTAGCTATCCAAGTGCATTCCCCCAAACAATAATTGACCCAAGTGGTTTGCCACCCGACGCTGCAAGTGCTGCCACTTTTCTTGTTTTTGTTCTTTGTTATCCCAGTATAAAATTGTATTGGATGTACCGCTCTCCTTATGGGCCCAAATGAGATCAACCTGATCAGTAAATAATTTTGAAAAATCTCACGTTGCCACTACTTTTCAAAAGTATCGCGACTTCAGAGTGGTCAGTGCCTACGGACAGATCATTTACTTTCCAATGTTGAAAACCCATCAACACAGTTTCATTTCGATTGAGCTCGCTGCGGAGCTCAAGGTAGCGTCGTGCACGTAGCGCTGATATGGAAACTAAATCATTCGGTGAGTTTGTGTGCCTGTCACGGTGACCTTATTGAGTAATTAATGTCATACTAAGCTATAAGTTACACTCCGAAAAGGTAACTTCAATAGAACCCCTCTAGTGTAGAGACCACTATAGTAGTAAAGATGCGATTCTAGTCATGCAATGTTGAAGTACACTTGGCATATGTGGCTTGCATTGACGTCACATGAGCGGTCATCGTGGTGGCCCTCCTGCTGAGTGCATCCCTTCTGCAGCGCACATTTCGCACCACCGAGTTTGTTTTTCTCGGCAAGAGCAAGTAGAAACGAACACCAGCCAGCCACATTTGCTGTCGCGAGGTTCTACTCTGTGGACCTAAAGTTAGTGAAATATGATCGCAACTTGAGGAGCGTTTAGTTGCTCAAATTGTCACTCATTACAGTAACTTGAATACTCTTGACTAGTTAATTACTTTACAGCACTGCTGCTTTACATATTCCCTGCCCGTTTCCCATACTGTAAGATGCCAAGCATGCACCCATGTCGCCGTAAGTGCCTACACCCTACTTTTTGAAACATTTGAAGTCTAAGCAAAGGGCAAACGAAGCGTCCGACCTAGCTAACTTCCAAGCCCACCGGAAGTAACTGAGGCACTCCTCCGTGTCAGCTGCTTCCCCAAAAAGCCGGTGTAAGGCGACGAAGCCTTATGCGCGTGCACCAATGTGAAGTGATGAAGCTAGATGCGAGGTCACTGGCGAGAAGCAAGCTTGACGAGAGCAGCGTGGCTTCTTTGAAAATTAGAGCTTCTGCCTGACCCCCACACTGCTCTTCTACCGTTCCATCGGATCAAACGGGGGCCTACCCTGCCATGTGCCCCATCTAATTTTATGCTGTTGAACCTAACATGTACCGGTCCACATTTTTTCGTGATCGTGTCCAACTTTTGCGCGGGCACTTGCTCATTGTTTTACGATAGGTAACGTCCCGGGTGCTGGTGGGGATCGGTGAATGAAGGGATATGTGATTGGTTGGCGATGGACTCTCTTGACCCGAGCTTCCCTGTTTGCAGGCTGTACCCTTGTCCCCCGTCGAGACCGGAGCCACTCCCGTTGGAAACGGAAGTCACGTGCGTCCACATGCCCGTCTACCTTGCAGGTACTTTCCATCACATTTGGCACATTTTTAGTGCATCGTTGCTTTTATAAATGAGATAACACTTCTAGAGCCACCAAACAGCGAGTTTATGCGTATCCGTCCGTCGCAGCCTGATTGCTAAATCTAGCGGGAAAACCTTAGTCGGTGCAGAATTTTACACCAATTTAATTCCTCCAGGAATTTAGGAGGAAGCTTTTTACCTCTAAATGTAGCAGGAAAACCTGAAGTGGTGTATAATTATAGCACACCAGCTCGGTTTCCTCGCTCAATTTAGCAACCTGAAGTGGTGTACAGTCACACCAATTCAATTTACCGAGCATTTGTGCAAAAACGTGGCTGCACTGAGCCAGGAGTGCCGAGCTCAACAGACGTCTGAAAAGGTGATGATATCCTCAGTGCTGTCACATAACTCCTCCTTTAGTGGCAGCCAGAGACAGGGTGTTTAGTCTTTTTTTGTTTTTGCATACTGTTAGTATAGTTATGTGGCTAGAATGTCTTCATTAGAATCATTTGAACCGTTTAAATTTGGATGCCTGGCAATGCATCCAGTCATCTCTAAAGTGGCAGACACATTGCAACTTTACTTCACCTTCATTTACGCTTTTGCCTGTACCATTGTGGTCGTACGGTGCCATGAGTGTGATTGTGTCGCTCGATGCAATTGGGTGATGAGTAGGTAATCTCACTGCCGAGTGACCTCGGTGAAAGCCCCTTCCACCAAGGTCACTCAACGACGACATTACTCGCATCAGGACCTTGTCACTTTTACCTCAAGTCCCCAACTTGCTTCCTGAGTGACAACGGATGTGACGAGATTGCAGTCAGCGTGAACGAAAGCCGCAATTCGTGCAGGCCGTTACTGCAAGTACTCCAGGCTGCTAAGTCAGACGCCGTGGATTCTGAACGACAAGCGCATCATGGAGACTTCGGTGCAAGAGCTCATCACGGAGGCCGTCATCAGGCATATTCCCAACAGCAGTGAGTTAGCCCGCACTTTCTAATGTACTTTCATCCTTTGGTGCTACACGACTGCCAACGTAGTACTTCACTGTAAAAATTCCACCCAATAATGCGATAAGGCTACCAGCTCATGGTACTATAAAACAACCAGCATTCCAAAGGTATCATAGCAACAAGAATACATCTACATGCGGCTGTCGATCCTCATTTGCAAATGTGCAACTCTGCGTTGCCGATTGGTTGGTGGGCAGAATTAATGCAGCACGTGCCCGAGCAGCCGGTCAAACGATTCCGCAACTTTGCGACAATGGGCCTTGAGGGCGGTATGTGTTTCTCGTAGTTACAGTTAATGCGCAGAATGTTTTTTCTTCTTCTTTCTAACTGTTTTCTGAGACATCTTTCATGTTCATCCAGGGATAGTGTTCTCTTCATCCGGACGTGAAGACGTCGACGTCCGCATGCTCGGTAAAGGTGAGGCCATCTGCTGTCTTTGTAACTTTTTTGTTTTTCTATCTTTGCATCCGTCGAGGAGCCCACAGCAGGAACGTGTGGAAGGCATCATAATGCTTCTTTCTGCTAATGATTCAACACCGTTGGTCAACAGCATTAACGGTCGACTATATCGTAGCACTACAAGGATTCGCATCTGGTTCATCGGTTCAGGTGTTGGCCTTGTGCACCGGACACGTAAAGGGTTGCCCAATCGGCAAGAACACACATCCACCGATTTTTCTTGTACAAAGAGAAGACTGTTTTTAATCAAATGGGGTGGAAATACATTCTTCCACGGCACCAAGTTGAGTAGCGAAATCTTGTGTTCGACGTAAGTTAACAACTGCAGGACAACCCCCCTCTCACAATGCCCTCTACTCTAGCAGAGCGAAGGCTGGAGAGGGGATGAGTGGAGAAGAGAAAAACACAAATCATGGCAAGCATGCCACGATTCGTGGGAGGGACTCGCCCTGCATTTCTTAACCTGAAACAAACTATGGCGGTACTAGCTGCGCAGTGCTGCGTAGATGTTGGAAACAACGGGCGCGACACCGCCTGTCGTTTTTTTTTCCCGTCCCAGGTCGCCCCTTCATCCTCGAGATATTTGAACCCAAGAGGGCAACCTTCACCAAAAGTGAAATGGAGTCCATCGAGAAGGTGATCCATTTTCGCTCACAACGCCGGCAGTTCTTTTTTTGGGGCGCGGTTCATTCAAAAATAGGTCGACCACTTTGCGAACGATGCCTGTGCGTGTATTTCTCTGCAACGCAGGAGGAGACCCAATTGGTGCGATTTATGGAAGGAGCCCGGCAAATGACGAGGCACCGATAACGAGATCTGTGTGGATCAAATTTTTTTAATTCCAAGCGTTACATCTGTGTCGTCATTCGCCGGCTCCTTTCGTAAGCCTTAACGACTGGTCTCCGTGGGTTGTGCTGGAATGTAGACGCACGAGTCTGTTCATTAAAATGTGGACCTATTTTCGAATAAATATGGTGCTTTGCAGTTGGACGACAACGGGAATAGTCTTGTCCAGTTGTGAAAAGCCTGTCCCCTTAACATTTTGTAAACAAAATTTTCAAGTTTGGTTGTTCTTTTTTTTTTTTTGTCCGAACATGAGTAATGACAATGCTGCGATGCTTATAGGAAATCAACGAGGCCACAAAGGACATCAAGGTCAATGACCTCCAAGTAATATCTAAGTGAGTTGCTCTTTCTCACCAAACTGTGACTGCTTCTGCAGATCGTTGTCGGCAATTCTCTTGCACTACCTCACTCTAGTGAGCTTTTTTGTGTTCTTATGCCTTTATTAAAAGGGCGAGAATATTCGAGTTTCAAATTCGGATCGAATGGTTATCGTTGGAACAGTTCGATTTGACTTTCGGATTCCTAGTATTTAAGCTTTTGAATAATTAGGTACGTCGAATATTGGTGCTGCTGGCAAAACTTTGCGTTTATTCGGGAGAGCGATTCATACCGTGAAATAGTCCTCGCAGGCCTTTGATAGATCTGAATAAAGCCCGCACCCAGAACCCTCGACTAACGCACCCTTGCGACAGAATGGTAGTTCTTCTCTCGCAAAGCAGTCTTACCCCCAGGCCCAGCTTCTGGGACGCGCTCGACGAAACCCTGTCACACACGTAGTCACTTCGGAATCAAACGTCTCGTGTGGCTTGCAGCCACTTCCGTACGCGGTAAAATTTGTTCTGGGTTGTTACTTCCATAATATGTACGACAATTTATGATCCAAGTACAAATAACGGCGATAACTGAACTGGCCTCTTTCGTTAATCCATTGTTTCGTGCGGCATCAAGCGAGGTTTGAACCGGGTGGTGCAAGATGTCGCCTCATCCGGACGGTTTGGCCATATCCATCCATTCGTCCAGCACACTGCGTTTCCACACGTGGAGAGCGGGACACGTTCATCAGCTGTCATTTGCGTGTGGCCATTAACCCTTTGACGGTCGTTGCCATACATGTACAGTAGTGATTACACGTTTGAATGTGCCCGCCTAAACAGGAGACTGCGCACTGTGCGCAGTTTCATGTTGTCTTTGATGAACAATAAATGTTATATTGCGCATTGTTTTGCATTGATGGGCTATTTCTAGTTTTCTAATGACTCCAACACTTTTCAGAATTAAAATTGAGGGGGTGAGAGCTCATCATCCAACAAAGAAGTACTGTAAAGTACCTCGGGTCAGGAATTCAAAGCTGCTGGAATGTCGCGGAAGCGAATGCGTCAAAATGAAATCGAATGGAAGAAAGGTGACATTGGTTTTGCCTTCAATATTTTTATTTGACGCTTCCAAACCTAAACACCTTGCAAGCACTCCCGCTAGATAATTAAGAAGAAAAGAAAAACGTGCATTGACCTTTTCTTTATACTATTCTTTTGCAAACAAAACCAGACCACTGGGAAATATCTCTTGGAGAAGAAAACTCGACCGTCAAAGGGTCAACACCGTTTTAATTCGTGCTAGCCTGTCTTCCTTCCGCATGCCCCGCTGGAGAATAAATAGGGCTTTTTTCTCATCTATGTGGCTTTTTTTTTTTTTTTCTAAACTTTTTGTGAGCATTGAGAATAAAACTTTTATTCGTTTCAACTTTTTGGACACTATTCGGCGCTACTCTATTGGAATTCAGTTTGAATTGAAATTTCACTATTTGCACACCCCTAATTATTTTAAAAATGCAGCCAATTCCAAGAGGGGATCATGGAGCAAACGTCCTACTCTATAAACGCACACGTATACTGACACTCTCTCAACATTCGCATCCCTTCGACACATAGCGCACTAAAGGGGACACTGCCACTGGCTGCAGCGTTTTTGTTTTCATGTTTTTGTCCTTTCCACAACTTATGGCCTTGTCTGTTCTGCCTCTGACAAGCCTGACTGAGCAGGTCACCTCTCCCCAAACAGATTTATTTCTTTAATTATCACGTTACGCTCAGGACCAGAGACTCTACAGAGGAGAGTAAGTTACATAAGTAAAACACACAAAAAAAAATAAGCAACACACTTAAAAAAAATGATACAGCAGCTAGGGCCCTTCACAAAAACAAAAATAAGTTAGTAATGGCAGTTCGAAAATGTTTATTGGGAATTTCGGCGACTGCTCGGGGAAGGTGATTCCACATTGATGAAGTGTTGGGAAGGAAAGGCTCGTAGAAATTATTTATGCAGCAGGGCAAAGATGCCAACTTTACGAGAGCGATCGATGCACACTGAAAAGAAGGTCCTTTTCTGTGCTTCAGTGCAGAGCAGGATTGTCCAGAAAAATATGCGATCAACGGGAAAAAGAATTAAATGCGAGCCCCACAAGTTTTTTGCCAGTGTGTTAAGCAGTCACGAGGGAATGCGACACACCTGAGCACACTCAAACGCGAATACTGTAAACAAATTATTTTTCGTGGGCTCAGTATTTTGCGATTTAGGTCAAAGCTGCAGTTTTGGAATAATTCGAAGGTTCTCATTTTTGCGACGCAGTGGGATCTCAATATAGATCCCAATGTGTTTACATTTTACCGGAATTGTTTGTGGGGCCTAATTTTTGCAAATCACATTATAGGTCCTTGCAAAAATTAAGTCGTTTACAGTATGTGAACGAGGTTTTAGCATTCCTGCATACTGCACGCACACTTGCACGTGCCGCGTGCTCTGTATGCACTACGCAGGAGCGACACCCAGGTGCTGAAAGACGGCGAAGAGTCTAAGCGCAAGTGCTACACGGCGCTCTGCTGCGCCAACCGCCCTCTGACCGCCGAAGATTCCGCCACCGTCTTAAAAATCAAGGACCTGGTGCTGAAGCAGAAGACGCCCATCAGGGTGCTGCACAGGTGGGAAGCACTCCATCCTTCCGCACCCTAACGGCGAATTAATTGTTTCCTACGATAATAATTTAAAAAATGTCCAACCGAACCTTAATTAGGGACCCGAACATTTCAAGGCCTTGTAGGCATCGAGTACAAAAAGTGCTACCACGGCAGAAGGCGAAGACCAGAAATATTGCTCCAAACAGCCGTGGCCACCTCTGGAAAAGAGGCCGAACAAGCCTCCGAATCATGGGTCCCTGACTAGGGCTTGGCGAGACATCCTTTTTAGTTATTCTTCCCTCCATCCGAATTTGTGCCAAACGATCGCGCTCGTTCCTCATAAAACAATGCCTCGCACAGAAACAAGAAATCAACAGTGTAGTGGTCCCTGCACCTAGTTAGGGCGATGCATAGCGTTTGATTTGAGATAACTGAGCTCTTTGTCTTCTTCTTTTTTTATTAAATAATGACTTTTTAGTTAGTAAAGATAGAGCCCTAGTTTCGATTGGACACTGAAAAATGGGCAGATGAGTCGCACTCATAAATGTTTCAGCTGCGTATGGTTCCTTTACCGCATTCCAAAGAAAGTCATTTTAGAACGCTGCCAGGATTTCAGTTTCCTATTGGCTGCACTCGCACCAACAGCTAATGGGAAGCAAGCTGGAGGGGCATTCCACGTTCCCTGGCAGCGGGATAAACGCGGCGCGCAGCCAGTCCCGAACGTTTCATTGTTGCTTCCAATGAGGTTACAACATTAGTCGACAAGAATAAGCTGCACCCGGCGTTTCTGAAGCATTCGGCAACCGCCATGGGTGTGTCACTGCCAGCAGCCAATAGGGCGCCGAAAGCACGGCTGTCCTTTCACGTTTTTTCGTGATGCAAGCACCTCAAGTCTCCCTAAATGCAACTTGCCTTCTAGCGGTTTCCGGTAATGCCCGGCAAGTCCCCGATTGAAAGTATACTTTTGTCTTCACTCGGTATATCATAATTATATTAATTATACGAAACTGATTATGCGCATCATCCCAAACACTACGCATGGGCCCCTTGGCAACGAGGGGTATGTGCTTCTTGCCATGACGGAAAAGTTTAGCGGGTAAAAGTCGGGCCCGCGTCTTTGTGAAGCGCTTGGCACGTTTCCAATGTGCATTTAAAGCGTGCGGAACCTCTCCACTACCGTAAGATACCGAGCGGGTGCCCACCCCAAATTTGAAGATAATCTTGGAAATACTGGGAGATGGGAGCTTGTAAAACCCAAAAGCACAGTGTAGACGGGGTGGGCTCCCGTGAATCTGAATATCACGTTTGTTTTTTCCGAAGAGGAAACTAAATGCGAGAAAACTCTAGAAACTTCCGACCAGTCGTTAACGTCATGAGAGGACTTTTAGGCCACCAGGCAGCTGTCGTTCATGTGGGCAGCGCGTGCAATTGCAAGCTTGCCAGGTATATTCCCCAGCACCAACACCAGACGTGACATCATTTTTTGACCTTTTCGAAAATATTGTGAGTGCGCGTGCAGAGCTTTGATAGGCGCTAAAGATGAGAGAGAGCAGAGATTCTGAAAATTACTTTTATGACATAGCGCTCCAGGAAGGAGGGGCTTCGGCGATACTTTGAAAATAATTTTATGCAGCCTCCATGCACCTAATTGAAAAATGATCTTGATGTTTGTGATCCTGGAGGCCAACTGAAGACGATTTAAGTGTTACTGAAATACAGAACCGTTTCAGCTTCGCCTTAACAGCGCAGTCAAGGCTACGGTGTTGGCATAGCCAACAATGAGCTAAACGTCACCAACATTGCTACTTTTGGTTTTTTACTTCTATGGGCAAGCGTAACTGGTGACATCAGCAGTGCTCCACGGTGTCCACTTGATTGGCGTAACGTGCATGCACAGCGCGCTTCTTAGCCTTGGGAGCCGTCCGGTCATCCCGCAGTCTCAAGACCACCGTTGTCGTCTCGCCAGCTGCGACTATTGTCTCGGAGTTGCATCAGTCTTGTTCGCGCTGTGTGTCCAGACCGATGCCACAATTTTGCAGACGTCGTCAAACATCGAAGACACCAAAACGTGGTGAAGACTGCAGTACGGACGACACTTGCGCTTTGCACACGCCCACCCTGACAGTGGCCCGCCCCGATCCCACCAGTCGTCGTGTCGCATAGTAGAGGATCACGTGACCGCTCGTACCACATGGTAGCCATGTTTCTGGCGGCCCGACGCCAATGTTGCCCGACGGAGCTAAAGTTTTGGTCTCTGCTCACGTTTAAAGTGAGATTTCACAAAATACATCCCATTTTCGGCGAAACGAATGACGTGGTACCTTTTATTAGTGTTTTTCAATGTGACATCACTCATGATCCCGAAATTTCAGGAATTGGGTGGAGTTGCCCTTTAGTGTGACGTGGATGTGTTCTCGTCATATTCATATCCAAGATACATTGGTCTTCCATGTTACTAGAGGTCTTACTGTAGTCGCTTCTGGTTACCTGCTGCAGGCGGACTTTCCGTCCATCTTCCCTCACCTCCTCGCACCGATTTCCCCCGTCTCTTTTTCTCTCTTCAAAGACGGAACCTCGCGGAGCGAGAGCGCATCGTGTACGACATGTCCCTGGAGCCTCTCGAAGGGAACAAGTTCGTCCTGAAGATGACTACGCAAGCGGGAACGTATCCTTTCCAACACCGCACACCTTGGGTGGATCAGTACCGCCTATGAGACGAGGCCTGCGATGATGTCGTTGTTAGCAGACCCCCGACCTGCAGACTCCGCAAGGCGGAAGACGCATCATCTTGACATCGCCGGGCACCAACGTCACGCCAGTTGCGAGATACAACGGCGGCAACTTCGACGCGACTTACGCGGCGCTCCGTGGATCTACAAGTGCCGACGTTTGGGGGTAAAGGCCCGGGCCTTGAATTCCAGTTCAGTTCGTGCAGACGAGCAGGTTAACATTGAATTTAGACGATCGCCATGTAGTGCGTCGACCCGTTGGTGCAGTGCACAGCATTTCGAGACATCCGCCTCCTCTTTAAAAGGATGCTGAAGCAAACATTTCAGTGTCTGTAATAAGTGGCGCACAATCTTTCAACGAGTTGGCAGCCGCCGGTGTACGCGAGCATGCGCAACGAAATTGACTTTATAGTCCCCCATTCACGCTTAAGATGGCAGTGAAATGTGTGGGCTCCAGGAAAAAGGAGAGAGACAAACTTTTCATCTCCACAGTGGGGTCTGGTGTGTAAAAGGTAACTGATTCATTGGTCTAACAAGCACGTAGCTTTCACATTTGGAGACGAAAAGCCTATCTTTATTCTCCTTTGGCCCGAAGCTCATACATTTCACTGCTGCTGGCTCGTGGAAAGAATGTGTGCCACTCATTACGGACACCATAAATTGTTTTGTTCAGTATCCCTTTAAAAAAAAACACTTAACCTAGAGAAAAAAACAAAATTTTTTTACCTGGTTAGGGCACACACATCTCAAAATAAATGTTCATCAGAAGAAAAAAAAAAATTTTTTTTTTGCTCAATATTTTAGTTACAATACAAATTTTTCGGTTTGCACGTGAAACCGAAATTGAATTCCCGTGGGACAATGGTCATACATAGCCTTTGCACCCAACTAGTGTGTGCTCCGAGTTTGCTGGACCTCGGAGCGCACACTAGTTGGGTACAAACCCTCTCATCATCATCCCACACAAATACAATTTCGATTTTGTCCGCAAATTGAAAAATTTGTATTGCAAGGTAAATATTGGGCAATAAAAATTTTCTTTTTCGTCATTTAGACAAAAAGTAGGCCCTAGAATTTCGTTGCAGTATCCCTTTAAATGACTTTTTGAATGCAAAAGCATCAACTGCCCCATGGAGCAAACCGGCGCTATCAGCTTTTGAAGCATGCCAAGCAGCACCTCAATTCCCCTGTCCCATGGAGTAAAGCCTGTAGTCTGTAGCAGCGAATTGATGGATAACCTCCCATTGGCCGGTGCACAGCGTACTAGTTCCAAGGAATGCCACCCCACACTCCACGGCGCTGCAGCCCCTGCCAAGAGGAGCAGAAACAGCTGCAACGCCAAGATCGGAACGGCCGCGGCACAAAGAACAACATTCATGCTTTCGCACTCACAACTCATAAGAAGTGCCGCGAAAATTCATTAAGGTCATAAGGAACTTATAAACCATCCTAGAGCTTTCATTCACACCTTACTGAATTCCACAGACCCTCTAGTCTGCAGATGTATATATCTTTGACTTCAGGCAAATGAAACTTGCAGTAATTAGTTAATTAGTTTTGCTGATACAGCAAAACTAATTAAGCTATATCAAAACCAAGTTTATATTTTTAATTTAGATTGTAAAGGGAGATATGCTGTGCCGATTTCATTTGCATTAGATCCAAAATTTAAAAAAACTTCAGAAGCCATGTTCTCTCTCGACTCGCAAACTTCAGCTACGTCAAGGAGTTTGTGCACGGAGACTTCGGCAGGACAACGCCGTCTCTCGGAGACTACCTCAACGCGGAAGTGGACATTGTGGAGCTGGATGTTGAGGTATGACTCAGCAATAACTTGCTCATCTAGCCAAAACCCAATGACTAGCCTAAGGAAACAAATTTAAGCATTTTCAAGGGTTCTTTAAGCATTCTAAAGACAACTTCAAGGATTTGTTACAGGGTAGTAGTGCGTGCTTTCGAGAATATCTTGTTGTACCACTGCAATTGGGAGAGATTTTTTCAAGCTCGCGCCTTATTACAAAACCATACGGGGATGATCTCGGAGGTGACTAGGTAGTTTAAGACTGTTTGGTGGGACATGGAAGGGCAAACAAAAACATGAACGCTCTTATGCACTCGATTGAAATTTTCAAGTTTAAAACATTGTAGACTGCCCGTCGTTGAAACTTAACTTGTAGCCATGTAAACAGAGATTTCACCCACATTATCCATAGTTTCAAACTCCAAGGCGTCTACCCAGATTCTTGTCTGTTGCTAGGTTGAAAGGCGTCGTGTCCTGTGCTCCATCCTATTTGTTTATTCTTTCGTGCGTAAATTGAACCCTACCAACACGCTCGGTTTTTAATTGTAATTTTCAAACTATACGTGGCTCGCACATGACGTCATTGAAAAAGCGCTCCGATGACCTCCAGAGAAAAGCGGAAGAAGGAGCTCCCCTCTTATCAGGATCCTCCTTTGTGCCTTCCGGATATGCACAGACGTTGCCATTCTCCTCAGAAAAGATTATAGAAGATTAACCTGTCACTCAAAATTTTTACAAAAGCAGCTTGTCTCTCCTCCTTTTACATGGTGGTCAAAAGTATGCGATGTGACGTCAGTGCAAGGAGCCTATGCGCTGTTGCAAGGCAGGACAGGCCCCCCCGCCAAGCCCTCCTTTCTACTTTAGCAGAGCAAACGCTAGAGAGGATCCAAGTTCCCTCTCCTCGCCAGCATTTGGTCTGCTAAAGTGGAGTGGAGGGCTTTGTGAGAGCAGCCTGTCCCGATCTTCTTAACCTGCAACGGGGTATAGACCCTTTTACCGATTACAAACACAAGCAGTCACTTGCCACCCCACCCCTAGGGACTTCCGGTCGCTCCGTTTCAACAAAATTTCTGGAACGACAGTTCTACAGAAATCACGAAGTTGGGGATCTAGCGAGGTCCTTCCGCTGTGTTATAAAGCTGATAAGGGGGTGTCGTCTTTTGGGAACGTTAAAAAAGAAACTCCAACAAATCTCTCACTAACCAGCCCTTTAGCTAATCACCTGGAGAACTAGTCATGAAACATTTCATGAACATTGCAAAAAGCGGTGCTATGGTGGGAGTTGTTTGTCCTCTCATTTAACCGGAAGTTTGCAATGACATAGGTGAATTGCCAACAGTGCCTCCTTCCGCCACCATCCATAAAAGTGTGCATGGTGGGGACCGTGTGATGCAAGCTTGTTTTTCTCTCCGTTTTTTACTACAGGAAATTGACCTGGACTGGCCTCCGCCACGGAAATGAGGACTGCTGCAAACATAAAAATGTTGCCCGTTGCGTAAACTCGCGGTGCTTCTTTCGTGCTGCCCGCAGCTCCCCCTGCAGCAAACCGTAAACGTCTCGACACACGACGGCGTACAAACGCCGCTCGTTCAAACACGACTAGGGCAAACTGAAGCCAATCCAATGAGCTATGCTTCATTCTAACGATACGAGAGCCATCTTGGTGCTCCAAATCATCATTTCCCTTTACCTGAAGAGTCCACAACAGAGCAGAGAGATATTGCTCGAGCTTCAGGACATTGCATCAAAGTAAGAGGTCGCATTTTCCTATTGCAACGATCGCCGATTGCACCCGCTGTGCACCAAGCACCAAAACGGCGGCTCTCAAAACAAGGAAAATGGATTGTCAATGCTCTAGGTGTAGCCTCTTCAATCTTTTATTTTTTTTTATACGATTTAGTGTATGTATATCAGAGGAAGTTGATTTAAATTACTAGCTGCAAAATAGTGATTTTCATGTAGATTATTATTCCACATGGTAGATTTATTGATCAATTCGTCCGATCACCAATGATAATGCTGGATAATTACCATAAATATAAGGTACAGTTTAATTAACAATTTCCTATTGCTGTAACTCCTGCCATACATACTGCAACAAAAACAACTTGATTTTTTAGTTGGTGAAAATGAAATGTTTAATTTTTATTCTAACATTTGACCTTATCGTAATAAGGACATATCTTTTATGGTTTTAGTCCCTTTTGCATTCCGGTTGTGTTGCAATAAGACGTCACGTAGCTGGTGAATCATTCGAATGGTAGAAATCAAGTTCAACGCTCCAATTTTTTCAGGTGAGAACTTCTTTTTGCTTGTGTCTATGAATCTTCTTGGCTTCATCAGAAAGCAGCACAGGCTTGATTTAAATCACCATAGCAACGCTGGTCAGATTTAAATTGTACTGACTTTTATTCGAGATTAATGAACGTCTTATTTTACAAAATGTAGGCCTTTTTCTTTCTTTTTTTAAATGATTGTATTTTGTAGGAACATTGGAATCAAAGCTCGCACCACAGGATAACAGTTACTGAAGAGCCTCAAATGACAAGGCAGATTTCCACGTCTTGACAAGAAAAAAAGACAAGTTGCAGAGCTAGAGATTCAGTTTTATTGCGCTTGCATTGTTTTATAACTTTTTTTTGTGCAGTGGTATTTCTACCACCTAATTATTTTTCTGAGTACTTTGCAGAGTTAACATAAACGAAACAGTTGGGGAGTGGGGGAGGGGATGGTTAATGAGTATTTGGTAAAAGGCAAAAGAAGGGAAAACATGATGCATTAGTGTGCATGGGCAATGAAGAAAAAATGTTAAAAACCGTCATAGCTTGCCATTCAACGTATCGACAGATTACGCTTTCTGTTGCTCCACCCTTGTTAATCTTTAATCCTCCACATCCATCATCTTTGGTGAAAATTCCGTGTCTGGAGAAAAACACTTTCAACATACTAGGACAACAGTTGCAAAACATTTTTTTTGTTTTTTCTTACAATGATTATTGTCAGAACAGTTGAAACGCCACGTTATACATTTAAAAGTTCTCGCCGAGAGAAACCTTGCTCCATTTGCTCTAACTGCAACATCATCACTCGAAACCAACCCAAACTTCATCGACAGCACGAAAGCTTAACAACGCCGCAAAAGCATGTCTCCCAACAAGACAAAAGTAATGCCCTGTTTGCATGTCGTGCACGACGACAAATGGTCTTGGGGTTTCAATGTTTGTGTGTTTCGGAAACACATACACTGCCGTGCAAAAGTCAGATTATTCTTGTCACCTGCAGGCTCCTTCAGACATCTCTAAAGTGCCGCATTACCTTTCGGATAGCTTGTCCCGTGCTCCGTGTCGGAAAAGTCTGCTGTGCTGACGAAGGCACGGACGTGAGTGCGCGGCTTTGGTGAGTGCACCTGGTGCGCGAATTCTTATTAAAAGCATTCTGCTGAGCTTGTCTCACGCACGTGTCTGCACTGTACACACCTGTAAGGTTTAGTAGTCATGAAATTGGTTCGAAGGCCAGCTTTTGTATAACGCCTGGTGGGCACCTCGCAAGGTCACGACGACCTATTCTCGCATGCCAATGATTGGGTGCAAAAGTCAATCATTGGCCTCTTTCTATGGACCAACATGGCAATAGAAGTCAATAGTCTGTACCTTATGAACAGATGTGGCTACAACCATTGGTCGCGTTTACGTGAATGCGATCGCAGAGCATCAAGTCGAAATTTGACTATGAGAAGTAGGGAGGTGGGATGCATGTGATTGGTCCCCTGCTCGATTCTATGCTCTACGATCTCACTCTTGTAAACCCAGCCATCGATACTTCTATAAACCAATGATCACCACCTGGATTCATAAACGGGGTTGTGATTTTTGAGGTTTACTTCTCTTCAGTTAAAAAATTGGTTTTTCCAAATTGTTTTTTTTTTTTCCCCACAGGTTAGGAGTTTTTTTGGTGTCCATTTTTTATGTAGGACAGAAATTCGAGGCTTATCTGTGTTTGCCGAAAACATGTAAACCTTCTTATCTCGCAATCGGAAAGCCTATTGCAAGCTTGTTTTTATAGACCCGATGTTCAAACAAAAGCACATTTACGACTGTTGATTAAAAACCTATTGAAAACATAGCTTTACATAGCAATCTCGATTAGATAAAAACAAAAATTGGCTCTTAGTTTAATCAACAGTGCTTATTATACTATACTCGAGCACACACAGCAGCAGAGGCGTGAAATATTATGTTAGTAAACTCTGAGCGGAACGTTTCATGTAAATGCTGCAATACCTCTTCCCAACAACCTACATTATCTAAAAAATTTGCACGGCAGTTTCACGCAGACGCCTTGCAAGCGAGTGTCTTGCCAAGATGAAGGCAGGCGCACGTGACGTTTGATCCACAATGTGCAAGTTATTAAACGTTCTGACAATTCACAAAAAGGAAAAAAAGGTTTAGTGGAGTGGAGGCAGTGTGGTTGTTGATGAGCACTTTGAATGTCGTCGCCTATTGTTTATTGTACTGCTTTGTATTAACTGTTTTAAAGACTTCGAACTTCGATTAGTCTCATTTGTGCGCCTTTCCCAGTTGGGAAACTCGTTTGTAGGAAGGTCTTGAAAATGGAAGCTCATTTTGGGAGAAGTTTGGTACATTGCTTGTAACATTGGCTAGTGTCCGTCGCCCGTGCATTTGTAACGTCCTTTTTTTTTTTTTTTTCTTTTTCCTTGGCTTCGATTTGAAGGAGTTGTTTCAGTGTTGTTCTACCCTGCGCCGATTACAACTGGGTATTTGGCATTTCTAACCATCGTCTCGCGGCTCAACTGAAAACAGTTCTTGAAATAACAATTAAACTAATTAGAAACTGTGCACCTTCACATTGCAGACAACCTTAGAATAATTGTGCCCCACACATTGACGACGACACGTTACACAACATTCTCCTTGTGTCTGGTTCGGTCGACGAAGCAAAGAAGAAATAGAACTTGCGGCCAACACCACGAAGTAAAGTGCACTGAACTAGTCGTGCTTCATATCCTAAGAAACGAAAATCAATTGTTAATTAATGTGTGACTTCAACTAGAGACTATAACCGTTGCTACAATGTTTTACCGGCTCATTGTCCCGCACCAACCGTTCCACGTGCGATTGTAAAACTCTACGGTACCTGACAGCAATAAAATGCCACTCTCGCATTCTTTTCAAAAACGCTACCTAATTCAGCGTCGATCCTACACCGTCCAAAACGTACGACAGACCCACACTTCATAAACCAAACAAAAATAAACATGTAAAAAGAAAAAAGGTTGGCCAGACGTCTGCCACGGCTATAAACAATGCCCTAAAAAAGACGCCCAACAGTTACAAAACGCCATTCCTACGTGCTTTGTCTTTTTCTAAAGACGACGCTCGTTTTGTTACCGATCCTACGGGCGTCTTCCTACAAACGTAAGAAAAGTGCTCTCGGAAGTATCTAAAAACAGTGTCGTAACGAACTGACAAACACAAGCATGGGGCCTTCACAAGGTCTTGCCAAACGCGTGATTAGAGTACTTTGAATGAGTGTGCAATGATTAAATGCTCCGATGCCTGTACAAGTGAATCTGGTGCGTTGGAAACGTGAAAACGTGAAAAACAAACATGCCGACATTTGACAAACGAAGATGTACGAAAGTTGTGCGCATCTTCTCTGTAAAACCGGGCAACGTCCCGCTTGCCCTGGGAATATCTCTCGATGCGACCAGCCGCAACAATCGTTGTGATAAACCGGCTTTGTAGAGGGGTCAACGCCTGTCGCAAGACGCTCCTGTGGCCGCTAGCTCAAGGAACCGGCATGATCGGTCACGGGATTGTGTGATGTGATTGGTCGCGGGATTGTGCGGCTAGCAACGATCGGCTGCCTCGACCAAGCCGACTTGGATGGTGCTGGCTCGTTCCCCATGCCTCGAGCTTGTGACTTGATTTGGCAGCTGTGGTTTCTCGTCTCCAGAAACACTTACGAAAACTGGGATTGTGTAAAAGAATGGTAAGAAGAAAAAAAAAACGCACAACAAGTTTTGAATTTTTTGTTGGCGTACATATTTCACCGGTGAAGAGAAGCGAATGCTTCACGGAACTTTGGTTTGAAGGGCATCGACGCCTCGTAATCCCAACAAATTCTGAGGTTGAAAAATCTCGCTACTTTTTCGCGAGCTTTAAAAAAATTCGTTGGAAGCATGAATGCGCGACGAACCAGACTTCTGGATTGGAGAACCCCACCTGAATCGCTGTGCTTCCGCATGTTGCTACCGATGTTCCAATTGCGGGGGACCCGCTATTTGTACGTGCTAAATGGCCACAATCCAAATTCTCTGCAGCGGCTAAATACCTGGTTATGACACTGCAGCCTCTACAATGTCGTTGGGACCTGGCAAACGACACTTAACGAGCACTCCAAACGCACTTGCACTCTCACGAGTTTTAACATTAACAAAGTTTTGACGTGTCGCTGAAACTGGCTGTACATGCAAGCCCTTACCATGAAACCTTTTTCAAGGTCCCAAAACTCGGCAGTAAGCAAACTCCAGTCACTGTGTAACCTGTAAACTGGCTGTGCAGGTGGCAACACTAACAAAGTTGTGCACACCAACAGTGATGTGGCATCAAACTGACATCATATTTGATGTCCGGGAGTGAACGAGAGACGCCGTGCTATTGTCTCAAGGTTTTGTACCTCAATACCAACAACACCATGCTCCCTCTCAAGACTTGCCTTGTGGATTAGCCTTTTCTTGCACAGCCATTTTTACCTAGTTTGACCTTGCACTAACTTAGCTGGCTTCCAGCATTACAGAAATGCTTAACTGACATTGAAGCGTGTGATGCTGGATATTTCTTTGGTTCTGCGGCATCCAATGAACCCACCAACGGACTAACGCATTGATTTTTTTCAGCTCGCACGCAACATGGCATGTTACAACCCCCATCCGCGCCGGGGGCAACACGTGTTTGTACCACCGCCACCAAATATTGACAAACAGATTTCTACACTATACCTTCCTCCCAAAGTCGATCACGACGGTCCCGCATCGAGCCGGCAAGAACTTGCGCGGCTCGACCCTTTCCCCAATCTCGGCCACAAGTTGGTCGGCAGTTGGCACGTAACCGGCGTTCAACGACTAACAAGAGACTATGTGACAGTGTCCCTTCCTCCGCCGCAAATCCGTTCGAAGCCAGCCTCGAACCGGATTGCGACAGGCTAGCAAGGGTATGACTCGGCGCCGGTTCAATCTCAGTCACAAACCGGTCATGAGGCGGCAGAAGCAGGCAGCTCGGCACCGCAAGACGTCTTCGAGACGATGGCCACGAGCCGGCACCCGGGCAAAGCCGCAATATTGGCCGCGGACCGGCCAGAGCCGGTACGGAGCCCAGAATGCGTCTGATTCGTGCGTTTACCGACCTATCCCACCCTGCGCACTAAAGGTGGGCTTAAGGTGGTAACAAATGGCGTCGCAGGAACTGGTGTACAGTGTTGTTGGGTGTCGCCATCCCGGCGGTTGGTAGTACAAAAGCTGGCGAAAAAGGCAAGCAGGCGAAAGGATTGCCATCATCGCAGCGTCCCGTCTTGTGTCTGCTTTGGTTTCCGTCGATTGTCATAGGACGGAAATCGAGGGACCACTTTTGACGAGGTGACAAACGCATCAGTTGAAGACGCGCTCCAGGCTCTGTACCGGCTAGCGGCAGTAGCGCCAATCGGCGCCGGGCGACGACCGCGGGTCCGGCGGGCCGCGGGCGCCCCCCGTCGGAGTGGGTCACGACCTGGAAGTCCAGAAGACGCCGTGGCCACGCTGGCAGACGGCGGACACGCTGAGCACGTTGTGGAGCGAGTGGCGCGTCTTCTCGACCGGGGCACCGCATCGGCTGCAGAACCGGAACAGGGGCTCTAGCTCCTTCCAGGTGACGCTGTACTCGCGGACCGCTGCCGAGAGGTTCTCTGGGAGGGGCAGCTCGGGTGGCCGGGGACCCTCGCGGGGTCGCACCGAGAGGTCGGTTGCCATGCACTCAACTTCTTCCTCCTCGCCGTTCCCGTCGTCCCCGTAGTCGTCGTCCATCGAGTTGTCGTCAGCCGGCGCGTTCTCGTCCTCGTAGCACCGGAGGATGCATTCAGGCTCCAGGATGCGCCTCAGGTCCACCTGGGGAGCAGAGCAGGGCAACGGTTTCTCCCTCGGCGAGACGCCGGAAGCAACTCGAAAATGACGAATCAAAAAGACTTGGTGGTCTTTTTGAGCTACCCCAAACTGCCGTAAGATCCCGTAAGGGCGCCCTCTTTCAAGATGTCGCCCATCTCACTTTTTCTAGCTAAATATCTGTATATAACATAAAAATTCCGAAAGATCGCCCACCTCCCGATTCCCGTAGGACATGACGTGATGTCCGACATAATTACATCATCCGCACCATCTGCGGTACCAGTACGCGTGTGAAACGCGATTTTGGTGCGTGCACTTTGGGTTCCTGGGACATGCGAGTCTGTAGCGAGTTCCCTCGTCTTCTGTCCTCGATCTGCACGTGCCACATTGGTTCCCGTCGCACGTAAGTTTGTAGCCTGTTTCCGAGCGTCTATCGCACCGTAAAACGTGCATCTGCTGCATCCGCAGTCTGCGGTATCCTTTCCCGCAACACAGGAGTTTGTGCACATTCCCGTTTCCCCCCAAACACGTCCTCACCAGGCCGGGCTCCTCCTTTCCCCTCCTGCCATCCCTCGCCCCTCCTCCCGCGGGGGGCTCCGCCTTGACCCCTGAGAGGTGGTCCCCCCTCGACGTCGGCCCGGCGTCGAGGCCCCGCAGGCCAGGCGGCGGCTGCAGGGAGGGCAGGATCGGCCGCTTGTCGGGCTTCATAGGCCCGGCAGGGCACTGCCCGCGCCGGTCCTCGGGGCTGCTGTTGAGCAGCAGCCGGGGGGGAGGCGGTGTGGGCAGGTCCCCCGTCAGGGGCAGCAGCCCGGTGCCCAGGGGGATGATGGTCAGCTCCGAGGTGTTCTTGAGCAGCCGGTGCTCAAACAGCGGCAACGGCAAGATGGGCCGGGTCAGCTTGCCCATCTTGTCGCCGGCCTTGACAAACTTGCGACGGCCGTCGCGCTGTGCAGGCGGGAGGCGAAACAAAATTACACAGGCTTGACCGTGCTGGCAAAGACCAGGGACTGTGGAATGTGTCCCACACAATCTACATATACCCATTTTTTCTATACATTATTTATTTATGATTGGGAGAAGGGCATGTTGGTTTAAGTCATGGATGAAGAAAGAATAAAACAATTAAAACAGGGACAACACAACCACATCTTTTGAAAGATGTGGTTGTGTTGTCCCTGTTTTAATTGTTTTATTCTTTCTTCATCTATGATTATTTATTTATTTTCTCATGTAATTCTTCGTGCATGTCGCTTGTTCGGAATGCACGTTTGTAAAGATTTTCTCGTATAAAACAACACGTAAAGCGTATTCCGCAATGAAAATAAATAACCTGGCTTAGAAATTCCGTCAAATAATAAAGGTGAAGAGTTTGTGTACTTTACGTGGAAACTGCTGGGGGGTGTTGGATTCAGCTTGGTCACGTGTTAGGTGAGGGGTGTGTGTAGCACATCCCTGAAAGAACTTTAGTGTTATTTTAACCGCCAAAATACTCTATGCATCGCCGAACGCTCATCCTCCGCCCAAATGTTGCGCTAGAGACTTAAACCAGACGCCAAGGTTTCAGCACTAACCGTTATCTTATTTAAAAGTTATAAGTGATGTCCTGAAATTTTCAATGGGCAAATAGGGCCCATTTTTGCCCGTGTTTGCTAACTGGTGCCAATTTTCCTATTTAAAATTTCAGAAAATTACCTATAACTTCTTAATGAGATAACGGATAATGTTAAAACTTTGCCATCTCGTTCGGACCTCCCACGCTTCACTTGGGTGGAAAATGAGCGTTCGGCAATGCATAGTTTATTCTTGCGGTGAGAGAAAGATCCTGTAAATTTTTGGAGTGGTACACTTCGTATAATGGTGCATCCGCACAACAGATCTTTGTCTGCGGAGAAAATCGAGCATGTCACAGAGCCGCGGGATGGAAAGGCCGCGAGAAGGAGGCTTTTAGGAAAATCCGAGAGAGCATTCGCATGACGAAGTCGCACGTAGTCGAGTCGGCGGAGCCCTTTCTTTATTTCGTGAACACGTCTGCAACCTTGGGGGCCTCGCCGAACGAGAGGCAGGGAAAAAGAAACGGAAAAGAAAGGCACCTCAACGCTGCCAACCATAATCCTTCCCCAAAAGAACCATAATCCTTCCCTAGTTGGGCACGTCACCCCAAATCTCGACGATGTTAAATCCCAACCTCGGAAAAAGAAAATTCCGTCGAGCGAACACGCCATAAATCGCCGGGACGGCCTCGCTCACCGGTTTGCCAATGCGCTCAGTGACCGACTGCTTGCGGTGGAAGCAGCCATTGCCGGCCTGGCTGGCGTGGTTGTGCACAAACGAAGACGAGATGATGGCCAGCTTGCGCGAGGACGACCGGTAGCGCAGGTAGATGTGGGCGTCGCACAGCTGCCTCGAGTCCCTGCAGACCCCAAGAGAGCATCACCTCCGTAGCTCCCCCATTTTTGGTACCTCAATCCATGGACTATGTGTTGAAAAGTTCAAAATTTGAATGGGAAAGGGACAATGTCACCTCCACAACTACCTTATTTTCCAGATTGTGAGCCCATGCGCTATACATGTATAAAAGTTGATAATTTCCACAGACCAAACTATACAAGGATAGCATTAAGGAGCTTGTGTCCTAGAAAATCTGAACTCGGTGGCGTGGCATGACATAAAAATCCCGATCGGTCTACAGGGTCATGACGTCAGAGCCACATGACCTCGCACAGGAATTTCAAACAGCCCACAGCACTTACGTGAAACGTGACGTCACGCGTGGAAAGTGATTAAAAAACATGACATGCAATGTGAATTAAAGGTTGCCTCATGTCTCCAGGTGATTGCACCTTATAAAGTAATTCATTTGCCTTAAAGAAAAAATTTGAAGAATTTTAGGCGGGATTTGAACCCACGACCATTCGGTTACAAGCCAGACATGCTACTGATTGGGCCATGTTTACCGCACTTCCTGCTGACTGGCGGAAAGAGCATGAAAAGCGAATGACAAGACAATGCGAACAAGGCCCGATGACGTTATCAAATTCCACTCTTAAAGGTGAAGCAAGCTTAAAGGGGTACTCCGCCGATTTTTGAGCTACCTCAACTAACTATATTTTCTGACTCCCAGGCCTGTACCCTTTCCGGAAGGCTATTTAATATCGTGAAATTCATAATAGTTATTGCGAAATCGGCAAATGAAAATGGTGCAAAAACAGACATTCAAATATACCCGCCCTTTTCAGGGCCGTGACGTCAGTGGAAGTTCAGCTTGCCAGTCGGACGAGCAGTCTAAAAAATAGAATATGCCAATTATTTGTTCCGTGCTGGAGCGCGGGGACTGGAGCGAGCTTCCAAGGCATTCATTTGACACCATGAAACTGCTTCAAATCAGTTGGGAACAAATTCTACAGTCCAAAGAGTGAACCCCTGCACTTCCAATGACGTCACTTTTTCATTGTTGCCAGTAGAGACTTTCAGTTTGAAAAACACGGTGAGGACCAAAATTGTAAATTCAATAGCTCAGTGAAAAAAAATTATTTTGATCTAATATTTGGTATACTATTTTGGCGATGTTGTTTGGCGAGTTCAGCAAAATTTCAAGCAAATCGGGGACCATGAAGAAATCGGCGGAGTTAAGCGTCCTCCAAGTTTTTCGAGACTGTTTGTTATGACGTGACATTATGTATTTCAGGAATGAAAAGTTATGTTACTGATGATCTCTGTATGATACAAGCTTTTTTTTGTGTGCTAATAAAGCGGCCATTTTTAGTGCAGGACATACACCAGGTATGGACTATCTGCCAGGTCTGAACCTCTGTACCAAATAAAAACTATCTAGGAAAAAAATATTTTCTGCACTCTAAGTTTGCTGGACAGCACAATACTCCATGAAGATCTCATTGTTTACACCACTGCAAAGAATCACAACTGCACAAATACTAGAAGTATGATCGCTTTGAGTGTCCTACTTGTAATGGCACTAAATTGAAGCAGATGCAGAGATTGACGGCTGCGCCACCCGGGCAATCGAATTATTGGAACGGATAGGCCCAAAAAGGGGGTTTAGTTTGTTTTTATTATTGCATTGATATCTTCAAAGCTTCTGCCGATTTAGTGTCCATTTGTTGAGAATATTGAAAGCAAAAGGTTGACAGATGAAAAGAGGGGTACACCAGTACAGCCATACTAGAAAGTTTCACATTTTTAAAATCTGGCCCCACCTGAACCGATACGGATTTTGACACGAGACTGTCTCTTTAGACTGTCTCTTTGCTCTATTTATCTCAAAAGATAAAATCTTTCGGAGATTAGTTAACTCTTTGGTAAATACTTGCCAAATAAAGTTTTATCATCCCATCAAACGCAGTTGGGCACTGACTCGCAGCTGGAGGCTCGAGCAAGAAAAAAAATGTCAAGCTCTGCTTAAAAGGGCATATCAGCCACCTGCCTCCAATGTCTTCTCTATGGGAAATTTTCAAGACGTGTGATGTCCTAACAAATAGTGTGATTCCACTCCAATTTCTTCCACACAAAAAAAAAAAAAAGAAAAAAAAATGACTGCCATATATTTGCCCAGAAATAGGTATTAACTTTATTTCTGCTTTTAATAACTTTTTTTGCCTTATTTGATTGGAAATACAGGAGGGCATCAGTCGGTTCATCAAAAAACAGCTAGATTATGAAATTTGAATAAAAATATCACTAATCTAGAAGAACCAAAATTATAAAAAAAATTGTTTCATGCTGTGTTTTTTTTTGTTTTGTTTTTTAAGTCAGGCTAGATATTTTCTGTTATTTTTACTAAGAAGGTGAATACTTAATCAGTTACATTGATTCAAAGACACATATCCAAGTGATTTATAAACACACTGAAAACATTTTTGTATTTTCTTCAAGATTAAATGTTTTAGTCACAATACAATGTTTTCTGCACATTATCTTGGGATCTAGAACTTGTACCCGACTGATGTCATAAGTGGCAGAGCACAACAAAACTAAGATCACTGAAGATTGCTTGCTATATAATAAGCCTTTCCAATTGGCAAAAACTCTAGTGACTCATTTCTAATTATTATTTTAAATATTACTAAATTAAATATTTATTCTTTTTTATAAATTAAAATGAATATGTATCAATATTTATATATATTTATTATATATATATATATAGATTTACTATGTACATTTATATACAAAGTGTTTCTTCGGAAGATTTCAAAAATCCCTAAAAATATGCTGTTTGAGATAAAAAAAAAAAAAGAAAGAACTTTGAGGGAACAAACTACCAGCCTTGGCAGACTTCAAGGATTGAAAAAACATACTAATTAGCGAAATAATGGACTAAAATTTACTAATTAACTTTTTAATTAGTGAACATAAACATATGGTTTTAACTTGCTAAGCATCATTGAAAACCACTCAATCAACTCTTTTTAGAAAGATATAAGGCAGGAGCAGCATTTCACCGCGTTCTGAAGAAATGGTCAGTTTTGACGCGTCCCTAGGTTCCGGTTTCTCATTGGAGCGCACTGCTGCGCCCGTGGCCCTGCTCCCCAGTGGTCAAGGCGCAAAGCCACCGCCTCGCCTCACTCATAAGATAAAGGTAAGTATGGCGCACGTCTGTTGCGCCTCTCGGCCACTGGGGAGCAGGACCGTGGGCACAGAGACTAGCTACGAGAAGAAACCGAAACCTAGAAACCCGTCCTAAATTAGCGTTTTCATGGTAGGCAGTAAAATGCTGCCTCTGCCTTACATCTTTCTCAAAAGAGTTAATTTAGTGGTTATCTGTGATGCTTTGCAAGATTCTTCATGAAACCATATGTTTATTTTTTCACGGATTAAAGATTAATTATTAAATTTCAGGTCATTATCTTACTAATTAGTATGTTTTGCAATCCTTGACGTCCACCAAGGCTGGTAGCTTGAACAGTATAATTTTAGGGATCTTTTAAAAGCTTTCACAGAAACACCCAGTATATTACCGTATATAATATTATGAAAAGACTAGTAAAATATTTTAGGATGATGTTAAAATTATAAGAATGGCCTTGTTGCACTATAATTTGTAAAATAGGTAGACACCCTTTTGCCATAGTTTTTTAAGCATTCGGCAGAAAGTATTTTTCCATAAAGTCGTCATTTCCTTCAAAGGTAAAATAGATAGATATAAAACAGCCACTGAAGCTCACAACACAAGATTATACAGTAGTTGCAAGAATTTCCCATAAATTAAAACAAATTACAGAAAAATCATCAAAAAGGATGTCTCTCTTCAACTGATCCGCAAACGTTGGCGACATTTCGAGTACAACCAGGAAGAAAATGTTGTGGTTTTACATCACAATGCAACTGACGCCACGAGCAACACCCCAAAGATTCCTCAGTGAAAAGATCACCTAGGGTTCGAACCCCCACTTTGTGCTCCAGAGGCTGGGACAGAACCTGAATGCCCAGGAGGCCGTCCGCAACCAGGAAGAGCATTACGGCCGGGTTTGACCACACGTCCCATCCGCACCGGAGGGTCTTCCCCTCTCCACTTTGCTCGCTAATGAAGCAGACGAAGGGAAAACACAAAAACATGGCCGCCACCACTGCCCCCCGTACAGGGCAAAACAGCAACAGGAAGTGAGCCAGGGCAACCTTGAGAATGCCCATCTTCCTTTTGCACACAGGTCCCAGGTATAGAAACTGGACTGCGTCATCGAGGCATCGAGGAAGAGATAAGGCGCCGTTCGAAGTAGACGGGTTTCCTTAGCAGAGACCATTAATGTGCCAAATTGGCACAAACAACAGACCCCGTCTCCACAATAAGGCGCAGGGAAACGCGCAGGTACACGTTTCCCAGAATGAGACGGGTCTTTATGCAAATCACTGCGACTTAAATTTTGAGATTGATCTGCGACCAGAACATTTGGCAGTGTACCGTATTTTCCAGCCTGTAGTCTACGAACTATATGTGTTTAAAAATTTAAATTTTATGCAATGTAAACTGTCTATCGGTGCAAACTAAACAAGGATTCGTTTTTTCGAGATTGTTTATTACAACGAGATGTGATGAGTTTTGTGAATGACGGATTGTGTTAATGACGTACGACAGCGATTGGCAATATCCTGAATTTTCCAGACTACAGTCTGCAGACTCTATGTGTTTAAAAGGTAAACTTTTATGTGGTACAAACAATCTACATGTGCAGACTATAAAAGGATTGGTTTTTTAAAGATTGTTTTACAACGAGATGTGATCAATTTTGTGAACATCAGATTCGATAACAATGAATTCTGCATGATAACGTTTGGCGATATCCCACAATTTTTCTGACTACCGTAAAATCAAGAGCAAAGGTCGACCATATGTAAAGATATGTCTTTTGTGTATTTTCGAAATGATAAAATATTGAAGGGTGGGTACTTATTGTAAAATGAGCGATGCATGGTATTTTACGGTATAGTCTGTGGACTAGATGTGTTTAAACATCTCAATTTTATGCAGTGCAAAGGAATAGATTCTCTGAGATTGTTCATTGGTGACAAGACCCAATGGATTTTGTGAATGATTAATTACAATAATTATCTTGCTAATTTGCTTGGTGCAGTCATGTCTCAGTAATCTGGACCCCTCCGTCACCCCAAAAAATCGTCCATAACGTGAGTTGCTCATAATATTTCGACAAAAATGTATGGCTTTACTTAGTTCGTCCCTCAAAATGTTGTTTATAAAACAGGGTATTTATATTAACAGGGTCCCTATTAACGAGACATAACTGTACAAGCTTCTTTGTTTTAATAAAGCAGGCATTTCTTCTAAACATGCTATCTATAAAAAGTTTTTTTTTTTTTTTTTTTTTTTATGTGCAGACTATGCACTGAGTATGAATAGAGTTCGGAAGATATGGTAATCACTCAGCTACTATTCATAACCCTTAGATGCCTGGCTTGGGAGGCTTCATCCATGATTTCCTTAGTGATAACTTTAAAGTATTATTTATCACTGCATTCATTGTTTTTATAAATGAATAAAATGACTATGGGCCTTACAGTGCTCACATATATGTTTAAATTTTTTTACGGCACCAAGCTTACACGTTTTGCAAAACAGGTTTCCTGAGCCTAGCAAATGTTTGTCTATTTGTCGAAGTGCCTTTCGCTTTGTGCGGGTTCACTGGAGAAACACTCTTTTAACCGTTACAAGCACCTGTGCAAACGGCCAACGAATGTAGAGGACAAAGCCCCTTGTTTAAGCTCGAAGAGAGTTTTAGATCCAGCTGGCAAAAGCCAGAAAGCTATTTCGTACGCACGCTTCTTGTGACATTAAAACAATCTCATTAAATTTAGAGACAGCTTACTCGTATCTCACCTTGAATTTTCCTGGAGGATTTAAAAGGTCCGTTTCTCTTCGTCTTTCTTTTTATTAATAAACATACTTCTTTGGTATTTGCACCTAACAGAGAAATTTCAGTTTTTTCCTCAAAAATGCTTACACCTTGAAGTCAGAGGGCAACATTTGTTTGCACGCACCGAGTCACAATTGAAGTCGTATGACCGCTTGTTTCGTAACAGCGAATGCCGCAAACCCTAGCTTTCGGACAATGGCTTCTCCGCCCGCCCCTACATCACGCGAAAGCTCTCACTGACGCAGAAAAAGAATCTGCTAATATATTTCTACCAGCACACTTCCAGTGCTGCGACGGGAGCGAGAAAAGAAAACAAAATCTTGGCTACCTCACGACAGTTGTCTCTTCTCAAGCTGTTGCAACAGACAAGGAAATGGAGGTGACTTTTTATCGCTCTCTCCTCCTCCCTGTGCCTCCACTTAAAATGTTTCCTTTCACTTTTAAGCGTTCAGAAACAGTAACTTCCTGCAACACGCCGCTTTCTCTCTTCCCCACAGCACAGGTGGGGCAAGGAGGAAACATCGTAAAAACATAATAGATATATAAATGGGTGGAGAGGGGGGTATGCAGGATAGTAGCATCCCAAAGGTGGCTATGTGCGTACATCTACCCAGATGCTTAATCTCCGTTCAAGGCTACGCTCACATACTGCCATCGCTCTGTGCCAAGTGCCGCTGACACAGTGCCAACAGAAACGTTACCAGAAGCAAACATCAGAGGGAAAGGGGGGCGAGGGCGGAAAAAAAAAGAGGGGTATGATGTCAACATCTGCTTTGCTGCATTCAAAATTTCCTCTCGGCTCGCCCTGGAAAATGCGACGAAGACACGGGTTGTCCCCTCTTAGCATGCACGTGTTGCCCAACCGTAGAAATCGATTGCCACAAGGCCTACGGTAGCATCACGGCTTCAACCGAATATAACTATAGTGCGCTTTGTCGGTCGGGCAACAGGCCTTTCGGGGGAACCCCAAACTTTGCTAGTAATAACTATTCTGACCGATTTGATTTTGGAGGTTTGTCGCTTTCTGCCCCCGACAATGTATGATCCGTCGGCTTGGGTTTTAGTGCAGTTTGGTTCTGCACTTCATGCTTTGAAACTGTGTTATGCGAGTTCACACTGTAAGTATGTACACATGCTTTGAAACTGTGTTATGCGAGTTCACACTGTGTGTACACATACTTTAAAACTGTGTTATGCAAGTTCACACTAATTGTGCAGACATCCAAATCAGTTTCTTCTATGTGTCTAAGATACAAACATGGGTAATTTCATCTCTCGGTAACCGTATCTTACGCAGAAATTAGTGACTTCATGCAATGAACAGTTAACCACACAGTGAAAAACTATTCGCACGGTACATTACGAGGCATGCAATAACGGGCGACGAGTTGCTACCACTTCATCAGGAGAGATTTGGATTTTGAAAATTACAGCGTGTTCACAAAAAACCATACCTATAATCGGGGACAGTTTAAGAGTAATGTGGAAACTCCTCTCAACCCTCTCCACTTTAGCAGAGGAAACGCCGGAGAGAAAGTGACCTCTTCTTCAGCATTTGCTATGGTAAAGTGGAAAAGGTTGGGAGGAGGTTTGTCACCGACTTTAATACACTCATTTTTAAAGGAGTAAGATGTACCCTGGGTACACTTTTGTGTAAGCAGGTGTAGTGGCAACAAAAGTATGTATAAAGCAAGATGTCTAGTATATAGTACAAAAGTACATTATGAACATTTTTTTTTTTCATGTTTAGCATGCATGTACATTATGTACAGAGAGAATGTGGATGTCAAATGCTCTATATAAAATTCCTGGTAGGTTCAGGAAATGTGCAAGGTTTCATTTTTATTGTCTGTAATTGCCAACAAAAATGTGGATGCCGGAAGAGTTTAATGGAAACTTAATTGTTCTCCGGGTATACCTGCACCCAAATCATACATCGGTAAATCGTTTTTATGCGATTAAAAACCGTTCACAGCTTTCATCGCAATAGCAAGTCGAAATTTTCTCGCGTGTATTAAAATGGGACTGTGTTCAGAAGGAAAATACGGAGTCACAGTCTTGAGCCTTGCATAAAAAAGTAACACGGAGTCGCAGTCTTGAGCCTTGCATAAAAAAGTAACCCAACCCTTTAGTTTTAAAAAAGAAAAACATTCTGTTTGCGCCAGATGTGAAAGAACAAACACAAATCTGTATTTGGAGTTTCGCGATTATGTTTGTCGCTACAATGGTTGTACTTTACGCAATTTTACGCTTTACGCCGTGTAAAATGACAAACTAAAAAATAAACGGGGTGAAAACTCCACCTGCGTTTCAAACGCACCTTCAATTCATCTCTGCTGAGCGTGGTTTTGTCTGTCTTTCCTTCTCCAATTTGAGCTGTGCGTCGCAGTAGCTTCCGACAACAATCCTCCTCTCCAATCTCATACTGAGAAAAGCAAACAAAACCGCAAAAAAGAACGACCATCTGAACGTCATACCCGCGATACGTGACGATATGCCCGCATATCCAATTGGCTTTGATGTGTTTCGCGGTCAAGAATGATCCCCAAATAACGAAGCAAAAATGGGATAAAGGAAAGCACGGAAATCTACACGGCTATCTCGCAGAGTCGAACTCCGAACTCCCCCTCCCCTTCCAACCAACTCCAAAACACGAAGCGCTCGACGATTGCGTGTTGCAAAACACGCTTCGAAAAAGTCCACTTCCTGATTCAGGGAGGTTGCGCGCCAGCTATCTACCCGCGCCCCAAGACCGAAAAAAACATTACGCAACGAACCCTTCGCACGTACAACACAAACATACACAGACACACACAGTGTTACGCAAACCGGACTTTCTTTGTGTTTCCGGACGCACTGAGAGCCCAGTAAAGGCGACACTGAGAATAGGCGTGCTCTCGCGAATCGTTCGAGGAATTCACTCACCCTTCCTGCACTTTCTTGAGCGTCTTGTTGGCATCTCCGCAGTTGACGCAGCAGAGCACCAGCCCCGAGTACTTGATGGCACTGTCGATCTTGTCTTTGCGTCGCCTGTTCTCGGCTTCGACGCTGCTCGAGTTCTTCACGCGGAAGATGTAGCGAGATTTCTTCTCGAAGCGGACGAACAGATCGCTAAACTCCTCGAAGGTGGAGAACTCGCTGCGATCACCGAAGACGTCGAGGAACACGCCCGACGTGTCCACGCGCAGGGCGCTCGCCGCCGTGGCCAACAGCCCAGCGCTGCCGTTCGTGGGCTCCATGCCTCCTCCGCCGTACTACCCGTCGTGAAACAGTGTCAAATCTATCCGGGTTTAGCATTGGTGAAACACTCGGCCCCGATGGTTTTATTCCGTAGAGAGCGGCGGAGGTGTCCGAAAAGCGGCCTTGGCTCGTAGGCCCCCCGAGAGACCTAGCAGGGCGCGGTGCGAGGGTTCCCACGAAAGATCATGTTATGTCCGACGACGCGCACCAACCACTGTGCCCAACACAGGCCGTCTTGAGGTACTACGGAAGCAGCGAGACGGAGGGGATGACGCCAGTGCGTGCATGACGTATCGGCGGACTCGCTCTCTTCAACTCACCGCGGGTCCTGGCATCCGGGTCGGTTCGCTGGCAGGCCGATCGGTGCTTCGTTGTCCGCGCTTTCAACGTGGGCCACAGTGCTCTTGTGTTTGGGCATAAAGCACGCAAAGCAGCACCTGTCAAACAATTACACAACCAAAAATGGCAGGCGCTCCGCGCTGTTGCCAGACGACGTTTTAAGTCCGTACGCGCGCGCGCGCTCGCTCGCGCGTTGGTTGGCGCAGCACGCCTGCTTTCGTAACTCGCATTTTTTTTTTCCTTATATTTTTATTTTAACTCCGGAAAACGTTTGTAAAAGGAAGAGGATGCTTTCTTTTTTTCTTTTAACGACGCGTTCAGTCATTAGCAGTCTGTGAGTGTACTGTGAGGTAGTTAGTATTCGTGACTGCAAAGCATGAGAAAGCTGGGAGTCCATTATAAAAATTAATTATAAAATCTCTTTTTGCAATGTCTTAGCTTTTTGGAACGATTAGGTTCTCCGACGTATGGCGTAACCTTGGAAAACTTTCTCTGTAAGCGCGCGAGTTCAACCGCACGCATGTGGACGCGCGGCTCGTGCTCTTAACAGTTGCAAGGGTTGCAAGATCCCGAATTTTTAACTGTTCTTTTCAATATAGCTGGTAAATCTTTTTGGGCGCATTTTTTTAAGAATTTTCGTAAGAAACTAATATTTGCTTTCAGGCCCCAGTGGTACAAGTGATTCCGAAATATGTAAATGGTAAAGCACATCACAGGTGCTCTGCAATTTACTTTACTTTATTCCATCTTGTTTATAAAAAAATAAAAAAATAAATTAAAGTTTGTGCTGAAATTTTTCTTGTTTTTTAAGACATGTTTATCCTCACAATCTGCGCCCAAAGCCAGCTAATAACTCAGGCAGACTCAATTTATTGATCAGAGCTTATCAGCTAATAGACTATCAACCTATATTTTTTCTAAAAAATCGACCAATCATTTTATTACTGCCCTTGATTTGTCAAAACCAATGCCACAGCAGTGCGCTGTACACCATTGAACTTTATAAAACTATTGTTTTCTTAAAGAATTCATTTGCACCGATAGTCATACAGCCTTCATGAGTCGACACAAAATGAATAGCTAAAAATGCTTTTATTTTTCTTATTCCAGGCATATACCATCACACACCACAGCTTGGATGTCACAGATTGCAGCTGACCAACTAAAATTGAAATAGAAAACCTTAGGTTGTTTCTGACAAAACATCTCGCAGGGCCTCGTGGACAAAGTGACAACGACGGCATCACTGCCGAAGACGTGCTGCAACGCGAAGGGGATCGACGGATGGCAACAGCAAAATAGAATTCACAGGGGTGAAGACAAAATAGAAGTTGATATGCCAAAAAGCACTTTGGCTTATGTGACACACTAAAAGCAAAAAAAAAAAAGGCAAGACGAGTATTTACAAATTTTGTATCAAGGCAGACGACTCGGAGAGACGAAAGCCATTGGATGAGCTATATTCTCCAGAGTAATGACATTTCAGCCATCTTGGCAAAGGAAATCGTTGTTGCCATTTATCTGAACCTGTGTCTCAAATTTCTACCCCTATCTCCCAATAAAAAAATCACATACCAGTAATAAATTTTACTACTAAGGCTAATCTCTAGAGGTACCCATTTTTCCCACAAATTCGGAAATGCGACACGGAACCTGCTGTGCCCGCAAAAATCACAGATTTTCAGCGTTCAACCAAACAACTGTTTCCTGCATTAATGCTCCTTTGGTGAATGTTGATGTGAACCGAGGCACCAACTGAATCAAATCCAGATCGGAAGTGCGATAAAACTTAGCTTCCGAAATCAGCCTAAAGAACCCCTTCAGATTTCGCCTTGATGTCGTGGTTAACGTCGAACAGGTAAAAAGTTAGCCGGGGAACTAGTCAGGAAAGTTGAGTGAAACAATTTACTGAGACTCCTAAATAAATAACCTAAAGGAAAAAATTAGCTATAAATAACTACACAAAAACTAGTGACAGATAAAACGCTTTCTCGCAGTCGTAACAAACGGCCCATTGCTATAGATGCACTTGTGTGTGGCAAAAGAATGAACAAGGATCACCCAAGAGGGGTGGCAAAATACTGACCATACAGGCATGACACGTCCCAAAAAAATGAGTATTATTTCAGGAGCAGCCTGGTGACATCAGATGATGACTAGCGACATCACTCTAAGCCAGCCAAAGATCCTGTCTGACCGAAAACTGAGCATAAACGACAAGTGACCAAAAACAAAGATTGAGATAAACTTGCTTTCGCCGCAGTTGCAACACGGCAGCTCTCTGCGCGAAGTATGGGAAGGAAAAAAGAGCAATGTAATCCAAGATTGTAAACCTGAAAAACTAGCGGAGAAAAATGTTTCGCGTGATAAAGATATTTTTTTCTCCTCGGAGGAAATTGCCACTGCCGTATTTACTGTGGCCATCGTTGCAGATCACGCTCGCACTTCCTAGCAACGGAAGTGCTATCGCGTGGCTTTTTATGTAACCACTACAGTGATGACACCGGCAAGTCGTCCACGATTTTGTTGGAATTTGTTTTCTTACATGTCGGCAAGTGAACGACATGTTTTCCCCGACGCATTGTCACAGCATTGACCATCACGCACGAGCATAGAAAGTGTGGATGGACTGTTACAAGCCTAGATTACATTTCAGATGAAGAATGCCTGCGCTTACGGGTGGAAAGCAGATTTAAGTTTTCGTTTGACATGGTCAATTTTACTAGCAGATCACGTCTTTTGGACCGACAACACCAAGCACGAGAGCAGTGCGCAGACTTCACACGCAGCTACAAAACCGCGAGGGGCATTGCACTCGACGATCAGCAGCAGTTTGGTTCGATTGCAGGCATTGAGTGGGGGCCAGTCGAATGTGACCTCAGGCTACTATGGTGCACCAGAAAGCAAGGCCTCCACCAATATGCTCGTAAACATGCTTATAATAGAAAAACAAGGGCTGCTAGAAACTCATCAATCAGATCAAGCGATGCCAACTGATAGGGAGTCCAATGAAGTGCCTTATAAAAAGTGTGGCGATGCAATGAGAATAATTTAGGTTGGAAAGACCACAGAAAAGCAAGATGACGTGCGACACCATAGAGAATTGTTAGAAACGCCACTGCTTCGTGACGAGCCCCAAAAACTGTGCTCGTAAGCAGGACTACAGACGACTCACTTTTAGACTAGAAAGGGACAGCAATGCTTTTGGCAACAAAAGAAAACTGTGTGGGTGGTTGACATTAGAATACACAACAGCCTTTGTATGACGCGTCCCAAACTGCTAATCGGTTTTAATACTTCTTGTTAGCTGCACAAGTCGTTCATAAGCTTTCGTAAGTGTTTTAGCCACTGCCTCATCATCATCATCATCATCCTCCTCCTCCTCCCCCCTCTCTCTTCCCCCCCCCCCCCCCCATTTACATTTCAAACTTCCATCTTAAGACAATGAAGAGCGCAAGTTCATCTGCTTCTTTTGAAGGGTTGTGGTGGCGTCATAATGCCAAGCTCTAATTGAAGGATAGTGGGCAAACCTCAATGCTAGATGCCTTGAAATTTAACTTTTATTCTTTAACCGAAGCCAAACAGAGCTCGGCATTCCGACGTCACAGCAACCCTTGCAAAAGAAGCAGACAAATTTGCACTCCATACACTAATATCTGCAGTCCGACAATAATCTACCTTTCTGTCCAGCAACAACTTGAAAAAATATGCGAGAAAATCTTGAGTCATCCCAGGCAAAATATAAAACACAATAGGACATGCTCACAGGCACCGACATTTGACCGTACAAAATCCAAGGTGCCCACCCCGACATTTGACCCTCCCTTTAAGTGATGTCAGTTTGATAGACGAGATGGAGTAACCAAACGACAAAATTGGCGGAGGACATGAAAGTCACATCAGAGTGCGGCGTTGCTTCAGACAAAACCAGTTGTTTTGCGCTCAAGGGGCATGCACACTACACCGTCCTCACACAAAAGCAATCCGGCTGAAAAACAGCCCCGGGTCCAAAAGTTGCACGACTAAGACACCAAACGTTCAAACCTCCACTCGATATTGTGACCTTCGGAGCAGACGAACTTGACCAGGAGCGAACCGTCCTTCTGGTCTTGACTGCGACGTTCTGACACCTTGGCGCCACATTTGTTGCAGAAACGAGTCATCTCCTCCACGTCCGACCGCTTCACGACAAAGCGGTCGCCCATTGCGGCCTGGGCCCCGTCACGGCACGACTCATCTGCAACCACCTTCCGGTCCCCGTTGAGCACAGCCTTGAGTGCCTGCAGCACCATGCCAGACTTATTGTCTCCGCCACCAGCTTTGACACCTTCCGACGGCACATAGCACTTGTCGTCGTCATACTGCAGGATGCACTCTGGTTCCAGAAAGGAGTCGCAGTCCAGGCTCTCCGTCTGCTCGTCTTTGGGTCCGCCGTCTGCTAGTCCGTGGCCGACATTTGGCTGGATAAGCAGGGTGGCAGGTGGCACCTGTAGACTGTTGTTATTGTTGTTGTTGCTGCTGCTGCTGCTGTTAGTGGTGTCACTGCTGTTCTTTGGCACAAAAAAGAGGTTCTGGAAGGTGAGGGATGATGGCTGCGGAGAGCTCAGCAGCTGGAACAAGACAGGGTCCTTGGGCACAAACTGTTCTGGCAGAATTGGGAAGGACACCTGGCGCGAGCCGTCCTTGGACACGAGGCTGCCGGTGGTGGTGGTAACAAGTGGCGCCGCCTTGGTTCGCGGTGCCGCTTGCGACGTGTTCGGAGGTGGCGACGCAGCGGCAGCCTGACGGACGCCTTGGGGCCAGTAATGGCGGGTGCGACTCCTGGACAGCACTGCATCTTGCTGAAGAAGAGAAGAGAAGCGGTTTCTAAAATGCACAGATCATTCTATACTAAGATCCTTTCTGTAAACACTAGGCTTCGAGCACCTTACGTTTCGCAGGAAGACTCAAGGCATTGGAGTGCGTCCGCACACTCGGAAGAACATTTTACCTCTGTCGTCCCATGATTATGGCTTGAGTTGAAGTCCTTGATGTACAACTTTTGTCCGTCGCGGGTGCATCGGATCTTGATATGAAAGGGGCAGTTGATCTGCCTCGAGCTGCAAGGAAAACACAAAAACTGGACACCTTGTGGGACAAGATTCCCCCAACACCAGCACGCCTGTACATTTCTACCTGTCAAGTGCAATAAATAATATCAATATCCAGGCGAGCTGGTTTATGTTACACCTTTTTGAAAACCGGAGACGACGGACGAAGAAGGGGACAATACACAAAACCTCTCTATGATTTGACCAGACTTAAACACTCCAAAATAATCATTTAAAAAAAAAAAAGTTTAAACGTACTTACTGCTACAATCAAGATCATGTGAATTATTGTACACAAAATCTTTGTAAGCCCAGACTAGACGAAATTGAGAGTGGCTTGCTGCCTTCCCTACAGAATGCGATGACAACGCCACCTTGGCAAAACTTGAAAACATGACACTGATATTTGTTAAATTAACGCAAAATATTGTAGCTTTCGTTCTTTCGTTTTGGGATAAGGCGTTATTTTAAAGTCAATAAACAAGAAATACATGAACGAAACGCAACATTGAGAGAATTTTATTGAAACTTGATGAAAGAGTTTTGCAAAATTCAACGTCGTTTTCAGAAAAGACTAGCAGGGGGCGCTTGCATTTTGCATATATGGCATATATCTATATTTTGCACGGATATTCTGTGTGTTTGGTCGAAAAACACACACACGCAGATAAAAAAAATTTAAAATTAAAAAAAGTAAAGTGTTTTTGTTTTGTTTTTTTCCTGCAGTTATTACCACACTCAATACATTTGGACGAGCACAACCGCGCTCTCGAGAAATATATTTAGGAAATATGCAAAAAAAATTCTCGAAATTTAAAAAGAAGAAGAATCAGTCAATTACCGACATCTACAGCCAGTAACACCTCAAAAGGAAACAGAAAAAAAAAAAAAAAAAGAAGAAGAAAGAAAACACTATCATACGCACCAAGCAAGCGAAAATTGACATGGACAAACGCGAATAACCGCTGTAAATGGGACAAATTATTCAGCCTTTAGATATGTCTGGATTTAAGGGTTACATAGCGACTCTGTGCTCTCCAAAACGCGCACGAAATTTGATACTGTAGCGACCAACGTTCACGCTCGCGCGGATAGCCGATGGAAGACTCGGAGCTCACAAATTCAGAGCGTCGAACCCGTGTTGTAACAAATGCGTGAGAAACATTCGAACAGCCCTTACTTGGAAACCTCGGTCCTGCCGTAGTGTCGGGCATTGGAAGAACTCGACGAGTTTCCCCTGGACTGAAACTTACGGCCTCCCCTGACGCAAGCGTAGTAGATTTCGGCGAACTTGAGCTCCGGGTTGTAACCGTCCGTCGAGCGAACTTGAGCCGCCTGGATCTTCCGAGAGCTTCGAATGTACAGCTGGACGGAATTGCGAAGCTGGAACGATTGGATGCGCCGGTGAAGCTCCGTGAACGATGTAAACTCTTCTCCGATGAAGAAGGTAGTGACGTCGGCGGCAGCCGCCATCTTCCTTTCACGTAAACCAACCCATTTCACTTCCCCCCCACACCACTGCCGCCGCCAACCCCCAGCACCGCGTCAACACACGGTCCTCTTTTTTTTTTTTTTTTCCGCTTCGTTTTGGAACTTCGGGATCCGAGCCCGCGGCTCTGCCCGCCACCTCGGCTCCCCATTGGTTGATGGTGGGCACGTGACGTCAAGTATGTCACGTGACGTGAGGCATCACGTGATCGCGCTGTGTAAGGCCAGGCTGCCCCAGTGGATTTCGAGGGCTTGAAAACGGGATGTCGTCATTAGAGCGGGCCTGGCGTTTGCATATTAATCGGGGGTTGGGACCGTTTGGATTGTAGGAGTAGGGGAGAGAATATAGAAATAAAAAAATACCGTTTCATTCTATCCTTTTTTTTTTTTTTTTTTTTTTTTTTGAGGGGAGCTTGGCAAAGTAATTTGCGCCTTCGATTTTTCGCTTTTGAAGAAGACGGGGGTATGTGGTGTAAAAACGGGAAAGGCTTTAGGGCCCATGCAATGCTGCCAGGGTGGAGAATGAAAATAAAGATGATTTAAATTGTCTTTTAATAAATGATTTAAAACGTGATTTAAATCGGACCAGGTTTACTGTTGTGGTATAAATAAAACCTTCCCCGCAAAAAAAAAAATAGTCCCCAAGATATGATTTAATTCATTCGTTTTGTATTGAAATAAAAAAAGAATCGTGAGGTAAGAAAGATTTATATAAGGCACAACAGGAGCAACAGTAGAGCTCTTCTGAGCAAATCCGAGCGTTGAGCTTAATTTCCACCTTTCGCTTGGTTCGCCCGCTACGCAACTTCATATTCAGTACGCGAAAGAAAGGAATAAAAACTAGAAAAGTAATGCCATTTTGCAATCGAGTCAAAACTCGGTAGTAAAACCATATTTAAAAAAAAAAAATAATATTAAAGGTGTTTGTGTTTTAGTGTGGCGGGGTTTACACTTATAAAAAGTTGCAAACTATACAAAAATTTAGAGTTTTTTTTTTTTTTTTTCCGCATTTGTTATCAGCGCTTGGACGGATTCATCAAACAGTTTGTCACGTTGAAAATAAATCTAGTGGTGCAAAGTCACTTTTCTAGCTACCATTTAAATCAAATAATCGGATCTGAATCAAATTAACCTGATTTAAATAAAATTAGCCTGATTTAAATGAAACGAAATCTGATCTAATTATATATTTCTTTTTCTACTAAGAGAAAAAAACTTGCGTGGGTAATAGTGAAATTGATAGAAAATATGTTAAAGATGACCGGTCAGTTATGATAGTTTATCCACTGATGCGAATAAATATCGATCGAAACAGATGAGTCAACAAATTTTTGAAACAGTTCAGGCCAAGTTTTGTTTGCTGTATGGTCAGTACAAAAAGACGGGATGTAAAGTGCGCGGGGCACGAGTTATACCACCATCCTTGTCTTCTTCTTAAATACCTAGAATGCTGCAAGTGATTTCTCTAATTAGAAGAAATAAAAAGTGATAAGTCGTAATTGCTCGGTATTCGGTTGTTCGCTACTGAAGCATTTTCCATGTCATGCACCTGTTCGGAAACAGAACGATCAGCGTCAGCCTGCAAAGGATGCTCTACCATTTCTCCCCAGTGTATTGCTAGGAAACTCGCCGCGTACGCAAGGCGCGCTACTAGTTTCGTTTCAATGTTTCACTTTTCTCTGCTCCTCTCTCCTTTCTTTTTCTCGCTCTCTCTTTCTCTCTCCTTTTTCTCTCTCTCTCTCTCTCTCTCTCTCTATTTCGCTCTATATGACAGTCACTAACCTTTTTGGCGGAACGTGAAACAAAAACAATTTGACAGTGTCGTCTGCTCCAGCCGGGTTGCTTCTTTGTAGCAGACGATACAGAGCGCGCGCGCATGCGCAACAATTAAGTCGCTGTTATACTCTGACGTTGAGCCTGTGTGTGTGTGTAGGCGTTTTTAGAAGAGAATAAGGGGGGGGGGGGGGAGGGGGGAGGGGGGAGTGAGAGCCAATCGTGTTCGCGCACTGGGCGCATTTGTTACTGGCTCGACGTCGAGCGCAGCGAACGCAGTTCAGCGCAGAACGTGGGCCTTTCATTAGCCGGCGAGCAGGAACTCGATATCTGCGATCACTCGGTATGGGTGCCCGCTGCTCTACGCCGCGTTCGCTACTCTCGACGTCAGTACAGACCTTTGTAAAAATCGCCTTCTGCGCGCTGCCATCTTTGTCTGCTGGGCTGTGGAACGCCTTCTGAGCATGCGCTGCTCATCTGCTGTGCGGTATATCGGACGCTGCGCATGCGTTCACAGCTCAGTGACTCAGCATTTTTAGCCCAAGTGATAAGCGATGCAAAGGTCTATAACAAAGCCTTTAAATTTTTAATTTTTTTTTTTTTTTTTTTTTTTTTTTACAAGGCGCGCGCAAGACATTTTAATGACGTGTACAGTCACCTAATTTTTTAATAGTGTCAAGCGAGCGTCGACCGCCGGGACGGGCAGTGCCGTGCCGCGGAGAAATGCGGCGTCACGGGAGAGATTAGGCGCGTGCGCACAAAGCTCTCTCCGGTGCGAGCGTCGTCTGCAAGGCTATTCTCTTGACCGCACGCAGCCCCTGTCCCTTATCTGCTGGCATAGCGCTTGCTTGCGTGAAACCGTGATAGTGCTCAGGCGTGAAAGCAACCGCGTGTCATCTCGTTTAATTTAGTTCTTTTTTTTTTTTTTTTGCGTTTACTTTGTCAGCACCAAAAAAAAGAAAAATACGATGCCGCGACAAGCTGAATGCAACGATGCATTAAAACTATATACAGCAGCCAATGCTACGAGCCACCAAAACCAATCCAGCGCTGTCACCCTGCCGCGTGACATCGTGGTTCCACGTGCAGTTGTGCCCAACAGGAAGGCCACGTGACACTTTTAGCGATAGACTGGCCAAGATGGCTCGTAGCGTCGGCTGCGGTAAATCGGCGCAACGCGCTCCTTTGCTATGGGGCAGGCGCTGTGTGCGATCAGCGGAATAACCTAGCAGACGACGCTCCCCTCCGAATACGCTCCCCGGAGAGTGCTTTGTGCACACGCGCTTAATCTCTCCCGTGACGCTGCATTTCTCCGCGGCACGGCACTGCCCGTCCCGGCGGCTGACGCTCGCGTGATAGTATACAAAATTGGGCGACTTTACGTTCTGTACAACCATGGGTGATAATGGGGAGTTTTCGTAGATCGTTTTCGCCGTCCAGCAACGGCCCTCCGCAACCCGCTCCGATACCCGGAACTCTCCAGCCAAGGTCGTCGGCGCGCAGGCGCAGTAGCGGCTTCTTCGTTGAGGAGGGCTTAGCGGCCGGGAAAACGCGGTCTACGAAAACTCCCCAATGAGTGGTTTCAAGAAGTCGTTTTTAATGTAACCCTGTATGCAAAAAGCCAATTTAGAAAATGAAGAAACAGCTAACTTCTCCCGGGTCGTATGTGACACCGGAATAATTTGGCCATGGTCATAAGAAACATAACCACCATTATCCCATATGCATTTTGATCATGAGAGGGGAACACGCGTCCTGCACCTCTTTCAACTTCGCTTGCACGTCGGGTGCCGGAGCTTCCATGTTGTCGTCCAACCACTCGTTGGCGCTCTGGCAGGCTTGCAGAACCTTGGATTTTTCGTCGGCGCTGATCTTGTCGCTAACCACCTCTTTGATGGCCTGCTGAACACTGAAAATGTAACTCTGGAGCGAGTTCTTAGCGTCCACTCGTTCCCGCTGAGCGATGTCCTCGAGTCGGTATTTTTCGGCTTCTTGCAGCATCCTCTCGATGTCGCTGGCGGATAGTCGTCCTTTCTCGTTTGTGATGCAGATGGACTGCGCGTGGCCCGTGCTTTCATCGCGTGCGGACACGTTGAGGATTCCGTTCTGGTCAATATCAAAAGTCACCTCAATTTTGGGCACTCCGCGAGGCGCTGGAGGGATGCCTGTGAGTTCGAAGCGGCCCAGATGATGATTGTCCTTAGTCATGGTGCGCTCGCCTTCGTAGACTTGGATGGTGACGCCGGTCTGGTTGTCCGAGTAGGTCGTGAAAGGCTTGGACGTTTTACACGGTACCTTAGTGTTTCTGCCGATGATTTTGGTCATCACCCCACCGGCGGTCTCAATGCCCAAGGAGAGGGGTGCCACGTCTAGAAGTTGGACATTCTTGATGCTCTCGTCCTTGGCTCCAGCGGAGAGGGCAGCGCTGACGGCGGCGCCGTAGGCGATGGCTTCATCCGGGTTGATGTTATGACATAGTTCTTTATCGTTGAAAAACTCCCTGATGAGTTTCTTGATCCTTGGAATTCTAGTTGAACCTCCGACCAGGACGACGTCGTCAATTTCCATCTTGTCTACATTGGCGTCTTCGAGGGCCCTTTGCAAAGGTACCAGGGTTTCTTTGAACAGGTCAAGGCACAGTTCTTCGAATCTGGCACGTGTGATCTTAGTGTAGTAGTCGTGGCCGTCGAAGAGCGCATCGATCTCGATGCTTGTCTCTGCAGTACTGGAGAGAATACGCTTGGCGCGTTCGGCGGCTGTTCGAAGACGACGGACCGCTCTCGCCCTGTCTGTGATGTCCGTTTTTAACTTGCGCTTGATCTCATCAAGAAAGAAGTCTACGAGGCGGTTGTCGAAGTCTTCGCCACCCAGATGAGTGTCTCCGGCCGTCGCTAGAACGTCAAAGATCTGCGAATCTTTTATGCTCAGCAAAGACACGTCGAAGGTGCCTCCACCTAGGTCCAAGATGATGACTTTCTTCTCTCCCGAAGTGATCTTGTCTAGTCCATAGGCCAGAGCAGCGGCAGTGGGCTCGTTCAGAATCTTGGGGACCTGAAGCCCTGCGATGGTGCCAGCATCCTTGGTGGCCTGCCTTTGGGAGTCGTTGAAGTACGCGGGTACTGTGACGCAAGCCAGCTCAACCTTCTTGCCCAAGTAAGCTTCGGCTACCTCCCTCATTTTTGTGAGTATCATTGCTGAAATTTCTTCTGGATTGAAGATCTTCTCCTCGCCCTTGTACATTACCTTGATTTTTGGCGCGTTATTGTCATTGATGATACAAAATGGCAGGTGCTTGAGATCCTCCTGAAGCTTGGGGTCGTCATAGGTTCTTCCCAGGAGCCGCTTGGACCCGAACACGGTGTTCTCCGGGTTCAGCGCCACCTGGGCCTTCGCGGGGTCTCCGACCAGACGTTCGGTTTCCGTGAAAGCCACGCAGCTGGGCGTCGTGCGGTTGCCCTGGTCGTTGGCGATGATCTCCACCTTGCCATGCTGGAAAATGCCCACGCATGAGTTGGTCGTGCCGAGGTCGATCCCGATGGCTTGGATCTCTTCAGACATGGCAACCCGGTGTTTGAGCGCGCGTCTCCTGCGAGCTGCCTTTCGCTCGAGGGCTTGGAGACTCGAACCGATCCCTGCCTGCTATGCGCATCAAGCTTGGGCTTTCGTTTTTTACGTCTTTTTTGAGAGGCTCAGGGCACGTGGAGCGAAAGCTCGCGCTGCAGAACTCAGGGATCCTTCGTTCAATCCCCACCCCTGCCCGCTTCGAGTACCGGCGTGCGGTCGTGTACAGCAGGTTTCTCATCCACAGTGGGTAACAATGTCGTCACGTTCTGGCAGACTAACCTCCCGCTAGAGTGTACTAGAAGGAACGAGTGGGACTAGGGGTGTCGCGAACTTTTGTCGAACCAGATTTTTAGGTCGAACTTTCGGTGTTCGACTGGGTCGAACCGGCTCGACGAACCTTCGAACTTTTCACCAGATTCGACCGGTTCGACTTTGTGGACAGTGTGGCCAGACGGCCAGACCTCGATTCAAGCATGTCTAAGTTTGGAGAATGTTTTTTTTTTTTTTTAAGAAAATGGTTATTTTATTTTATAAACAGTTGCAATTAAAAGAAACTAATTCTAATCACTGAAGAGGTTAATAACTTAATTTTTTTGTACTGTATTAAGTGAAATAACCAATCAGCGCAGCTCTTAATTTATACCTTAGCCATTACCATCCAATCCGCAGCCAACTGACCAGCCTGTCATGCATGCGCACACGAGTCGAACCTCAAAACAAGGTTCGTCGAATTTTCCACTAAAAGTTCGAAAAAGTCGAACCTGGTCGAACTCAAACCTCGGCCGGTTCGCGACACCCCTAAGTGGGGCGAGCTACAGGCTCCGCTCACTGATCTCCACTAGAGGGGTGGCTCCGCTCATGCTTTCAGTAGGGAGGCTCTAGTGAGGGTGGGCGCAACTCAAAACCTGGAGAGCGTTTGCAATTTAATGGCGGCGCCTGAGGGAGAGCATCACTGATCTCAATTGTCATAGAGATCAGTGGAGAGCATTCGAAAAAGGATATGCGCCAGTGTTGCCTGCACGAGAGCAGGCGCCCGCTCTGTTGCAACTCTGTTGCTCCATGCGCCTTTCCTCCTCTCGCCTCCCATTGCAAGCAACGAGCGCCTTGGCGCAGCCTCTCTCGCTTCCTTCTCGCTCCGAGAATTGCAAACGTCGAGCGCAGAAAGCAAAGTTGCCAGACAAGCAGCAACGTCCAAGATGGCGGAATTTACCATTTTTCGCGTTAAAAAAATACTTAACCTATCGCAACAAAACTGGTGGCTATAGAAAAGTAATCATTTATACCTTGTGTAAATTATTCAAGCACCTTAATGGGCTTTTATGACCCGAGTTAGGAAAGAAAACGACCCTTTGCCCCATAGGCTCCCAGCAAAATTTAGCAATTAAATGGCGTCCATGTCCCGTGATCGCCGATCTAGCAGTTGCACCGGTTGCACCCACCCTCACTTGAGCCTCCCTAGGACAGGAGGATCCGAACGGCTCCGAGCGTTCCGAAGGCCTTCGGCGAGAGGCTTTGTCTTGCGGTTTGGCCGTTTCGCGGTATGGCAGCGCGAAGTGGCTCCCATTCTGAACTTATCTTTACCCCGTGTTTGCTGTTGTTTGTGGCCAATGAAGTGTCATGCCAAATTAGTGCTTAATCGCGCAGCAAACGCAATGAAAGCCGCTTTGGCTGCCCGCTGCATACAGCCTATTCAGAACATATGCTTTAGTGGCGCGCGCCGTCGACACGGAGTGCGGCGGCCGTGAGCGCTCGATGAGCTCACTATTCATCCTCTAGTTCACGGCCACTCAAGCCAGGACCACTGATCTCTCCTACGACGTCATGAAGGAGGTTATTTTTTGCTTGTTTGTGTAATTCTAAATTGCCTATAACTTTTAAAATAAAGCGAATTTCGCGAAAAGAAAAGTTTCACTAAGTTACTACGTTCAGTGCGCTCAGGTTCGGTGCAAATTAAAAAACAGTAAAAAGTCCTTGCAGGGCCCCTTTAAGGGGGGTAGTGTAACGAACAAACCGGAGAAGCGGCACAGCGTTGGAAGACGGCCGCGGATGGCGCTGGCCATGGAGAATAGAAGGGCAGGAGAGGGCATGACGTCAGCCGCGTAACCTCCACAAGCCATCAGGGGGGTAAAGGTGGGTGAGGAGGAGTGGCAAATCCCGTGCGCCGACATCCTGGGTCCCGAGTGAACGAACGCAAAAGAGAGCGACAGAACACGAGAGAAAGAAAGCAACGTTGCCATGGTAACGCGAAGAGTGAAAACTCTTAGCAATATAAACAGTGATAATTTAACGTTGTAAACTAAATTATGAGCTATTCTAACGCTTATAAAAAGCAATAAACTCATTACGCTGCATTAACTTCCCTTCTGTCGAAATCTCGGAAATCTGGTGGTTGCGCAGTTTCGTATTCCTCAACCGCGCCCAGCCGCGCCCCACTGGCGAAGCCGGGTATATGGTTTAGTTTAGCGTTAACGCGAGGCCGTACATCTGCGCGCTTTTCAAAAAGAAAGCTTCGAAAAGAACGTGAATATCTTTCCACCGGTAAGTTCGTTAATTGTTGAAGTTCACGAAACTGCTCTGATGATGTAACCGTGTTTGGGACCCAGAAGGTCTGCCTGCATGATCCGCCGCTTGCAGCAGCCAGAATATAAGGGAAAATGGCGGACCTTTTCCTCTAGAGTTAGTATGTATGATCTCTATGCAAGCCATGCTCCCTTGACGCCTCGCCTCTTTCTCATTTTCCTCCTTACTCTCCTCGCTTACCATGCCAACGTGACCACATCACGTGACCGAAGCTAGCCTTCGTCTTGCTATGGGGTACTAGATACACCACAGTCTAGCCTTCGATGTGATAAAACCTACCGGACGAAGGGCGCGCAAGCCTGCAAAGAGTCCTTCTACAAGCAACCATCCATCTCACAGGTGACATGTCACGCGCACCAATCGGCAGACAGATCTGCGGTCACGCTGGGCACAGAATCGTTTAAACTTTTTATGACTAGGCTTCACCAATATTGCAGCGTGCCCCCTCCTAGTACTTCTAACCTCCTTGGCGCTGGCGCTTGCAGCACCGTCGTTCCGGCTATGGCTCCGGCTTGGCCGCTTGGTCAGCTTGGCTCCGGCCAATAGACTACTTCCATAAAGCCCTGCATGCAACACGGCGCGCGTTGCACTCTGGGAACTAGTTGGCCAGGGAGGAGGGTGGCATGGTTTCGGTTTCGATCGACACGTCGACAAGAGATGGTTTTCTGGTCCCGAGAGCGTCATTTGTGGTCTCTAAACTAACCTAAATGGCCAGGCCTCGAAGCTTTAGCAGAAGCCTGAGACGTATAGCTTGTCTTAACACATGCTTGTTGTATTTTTGTACTTGAGTCTTCCTGTTAGCGTTCGAATCGAGGTATGTGGACGAGCCATTGCTGGGAATTTTGACGCTGCGAAGCTCGGGTTTCTTGCTTGTATACGAATCAACAAGCTGTAGCGACCAATAAGTATGCATACATCGAGCTCGCGCCTTTACATTAGTGTTGCTGATCAGGAAGTTTGTTTGTTTCGTGCGTCCATAGACGAAATATTACTTTTTGCAATTACTGTATTTCTTAATATGCCTGAATATGCGAGGTAAAACTCGGAAGCGCCATTGAAAAGCTCAATTTTGACACACTTCTTATCTCTTATCTGTTCTGACCCGCAGCACTGCACGAAGTGAAGTCCCTACCCGCTTGCATTCCACTAATATTCAACATCGCGTATGCACATAAAGTTATCCTGTAATCATATAGGCAAATTCGCACATACAGACCGTTTTGAAAAAGCAAAAGTCGAGCACTTGTGTGAAGAATGTCGCACCGTTCCCCGGAAGTGCGCCGGACGGGCAGGAACCCCCATGCGCACCGCATAGGGGTTCATGCCCGTCCGGCGCACGGTGCGGCAAAGCGCGTTTGACGGTTGCTAATATTTGTTTAATATTTGTTTTGTGTTTGTTTTTTTCCTGCCTGAGTATGCCGAGATAATTTCAGACACACCGTTCAGGCGCAGATCTTGGGCGTCAGTAAAAGCTCGTCCAAAAAGGCTTAGCGAGGAGTAGGGGACGCTTGTTAGGGCCTCCGTCGTAGCTAGCCGATCTCAGCGTTTGCGACAAATTAATCGCGAGAAATTAATCTTCTACCAGCATAAAATTCGAGTGGGAGATATATGATGACACGAGGAAGAGATCATAGTAACTTTTGTGCAGTAGTGAGGTCGAATTTACTGCGTTTCCTGCGTAAACGCTGGGCTCAACTTTGATACCCTGTGAGGATGCGGCTTTCTTTTCGCCCAATGAAGTAACAAGAAACGGACGTTTGGCAAACAAAATATGTATAAGGCTCCAGATGAACGAATTTTAGTTCTAGTTCAGTGGTACTAGACGGGATTATTGAAATGGAGCTCAAATATGCACCCGTAGGGTGAGGTGACTACGCCACGTCTTACTACGTTCGCATACGCACGCACCATATCCGGTGTTTCGGGAACCAAGGAAAGTGCCCCGGTCTTCGTTTTGTATCGCTCGGGAATGAGTCTATTGTACGTTCGTGAAAAGTCAGATAATCGAAAACGCAAGCAGCGCGTTCGGTCGCGGAGTGATAGCATGAGGTGAAGCTGCACAGTCGAAACCGAAACTGAGTGGCCAACTAGTTCCCAGAGTGCACTGCGTGGTATTTCGCCGCGATGGGGCGCGTCGGTTTTGGAAGTAGTCCATTCGCGGCTGTCGACTACACCGTCGTCTGCTAGTTTCACATTTTTATTCACCTTCAAACACAAATCATGTCGTTGGAAGTTCACTGGAAACAAATAATTGTTTTTGAGGTATTTATATTAGTTACGAAGCGTGTTAGGGTGCCTCTATCTGTCGGCCGAATGAGACACCCAACGGATGGATGGATGAATGCCAGAGCCGTATATGTAAAGTTTGGCCACACCTTTTCCACAAGGGCGCCGCCATCTTGGATTGTCGTCACTTCCAGTATGGGTGAAAACATTACTTTGTCGTCGCCACGCCGATAGAAGACACTTAGGATATAAGCCTAACCGTCACTCATTCTCGTTTTGGCTCCCTTCTATTTTTTTACTGTTTACAAGTTGAAACGTTTTACTATTTTGTCGTCGCCCATACTGGAAGTGACGACAATTCAAAATGGCGGCGCCCCT